CGTAAAATAATTTTTTTTTAACGGTGGGGATTTTAGGGGTTTCCAAAGGTTGACGTTTTTCGGTTTATTTTTTTCCCCACACATTAACCAATGGGTTAAATTCTGGGGTTTTTAATTTCTTCTCCCCCCCCCCCCCCCCCCCCTCCCTCCCCCCCCTTTTTCTACACTCCAATCCTACGCAGACACCCTTGCTAACCGCCGCCGCCCCAAACTCCAGCCTCCAACTCAACATCGGCATCATCGCCTCCTGCGCCCCCTCCCTCAAGCCCATCGTCTCCAAGGCCCTCAAGCTGTCCGACTACTACCCGTCACCCGGCTCGCGGTACGGCTCGCGCGGGACTGGCGGCGTGCGCACCATCGGCGGGACGAACCCGCTGCGGTCCAAGCAGGAGCAGCAGCACCGCGACGGGGGCTACCCGCTCCGCGACCTCAGCGACCAGCGGTCGGAGGACGAGCTCGAGTTCGGCACGGGCGGCAAGGCAGGGGCCGCGGGCGGGCAGGGGACCGCGCGCAGCACGGCGACGGTCACGTTCTACAAGCCTGGGGCCGGGTACGAGGGTGATGGGGATCGGTCGGGGAGCGAGGAGCTGATCCTGGATGGGAGGACGAGGGCGAATGAGTTTAGGGGGGGTATCCTTCGGACGACGGAGGTTACTGTGCAGTGATTGTGTGTGTCACGGTTGGGTCAAATTAGTTTTACCAGTTACGCTGCGGCTACTGGGCTTCTCTTCTTCTTCCTCCTCGGTTCGTCAGCCATTATTACGTGCACTAGAGTCTTCATAGAATAGCGATCAATGACATGGATGACACCATCGTGGTTCACAAGCAGATGACAATGAATCCCCCACCAGTTGTCGGGAGTGTCTGTCGGTCACCCAACCCAACTAACTAACCAGGTACATTTATCGGTCGGTTCTCTCGGGTACGTCGGCAATCCCCCTGCAAAGTACTGTGGTAATCGAAGCTTAGGGATCCGACGAGTCGTGCGATGAAGCCATTCCCCACGGCACTTTTTTTCTAGCGTACACTAGTCCCCCCTTTTCCCGTATGCCCGTGGTGTATCCGCACAGAGATCTCAAAGCCACCGTTTGTCGGTTCCGTGGCGGGTGCTTCCCTGCCGTCGGCGGCGCCGCTAAATCTGACCTGGTGGGCCGGCGTTGCACTGCACTATTCCATCGCTTCTCCTTGTATCACTAGTTTGTCTTGCACAATAGTAGAGACAGGGGTTGGGGGTCAACCCCTTGATCCAGCGTGATTTTAGTGTATAATTGCCGCGCGAGGACTCCAAATTCTCTTCCCCTGTTTTATTGAATACTAGTGTGTTCTTTGCAGCCACTGCGATCGAGGCGTCAGGCTTAGGGCTTGAAGAAACCTAAGTCTGGATTGCCGGCTTACTGCACTAGAACAACGTCCGGGATGACGATCCTTCGAGGGGGTAACCAGGGGATCCATGTAGTACTACACTGGGGCCCCGCTTTATTAATGTAACCTGAACCCTGGAGCCTTCGCTCTTGCAATCCTTGATGGGAAGACAGAGGCTGACGAGAGAATTGGTCAATTGTGGACGGTCTTGGGACGTCACAAGCATCATCTTTGCTAATTACACTACTCGACACTAGAGACAGGCATTTGCAGGGTCGCCATGCAACCTAAGGGGTGACAGACTGGCAGGTGTCCACGAGGTAATCAGACATGCATCCTCAGTAGTACATATTACCACTGTGTGCGCATGTATTCCCGCCTCACCCATCTTTTCGATCGACCCAGTTGACCGGTAGCCACTCATTTGTTTCCTTCCTTCCATCTTACCCGTCACTCGTTAATCGTCACTCGTTACTCATCTCTCCGCACTCGTCATTGCGGGTAGTGATCGCCATGTTGTCATTGCAGATCCTCAGCCTCCTGGCCGCCTCGTCAATCGTGACAGCGGCCAAGGCTCCCCAGTTCCTCTTCAAGGATGTAGTTGTTGTTGGTGGAGGTGCATCCGGCTCCCACGCTGCCCTCCGTCTCCGGGAGGATTTCGGCAAGAGCGTCGCACTCATTGAGAAGCAAGCCATTCTCGTACGTATTCCATTTTCGGTGCCAGCCCCTGTTGGAACTGGGCGACAGATCTTCTAACTGGCAACAGGGTGGCCACGTTGATACTTTCGTCGACGAGAACACCGGAACCAAGTACGACTATGGTGTCCAGAACTTCATTGACTATGGCAATGCGAAGGAAATCTTCCAGCGCCTGGGCATCCAGACCGCCGCGCCAGGGCGTACTGCAACCACGACCACTTATGTCGACTTCACGACGGGCAGGGAACTCAACTTCACTGCCCCGGACATTACGCTCCAGATGGCTGCGCTCGACAAGTACCGTGTGCTGGCCGAGCAGTGGGAGGACATCCTGCTGCCAGGCTACTTCGACTTCCCGGAGCCAGCAAACATCCCCTCGGATCTTCTCCTGCCCTTCGGCGAGTTTGTCAAGAAGCACGGCATCGAGGCCGCCGTTCCCTTCGTCTACAAGACCACCGGACTGGGCGTCGGCGACGTCTCGACGCAGCTGACCATCTACGTCATGCAGGCCTTCGGCGCGCCCATGGCCCGGAGTCTCCTCGGCCTGCAGGACAGCATCGTCCCGGCGTCGGGCCGCAACCAGGACGTCTATGATGCCTTCGCGGATGCCCTCGGCGACGACGTGCTGTTCTCGAGCACCATCATCGACTCGAAGCGCACCGACTACGGCGTTTTCGTTGTCGTCAAGAACAACAAGACCGGCGACATCACCCTCATCACGGCCCGCGCCCTGCTCGTGGCCATCGAGCCGACAGCCGGCAACACGGAGCCGCTCGACCTCGACGAGACGGAGAGCGCCGTCTTTTCCAAGTTCGACTACACGCGCATCTACGCCGGCATCGTGGCCAGCTCGTCCCTCCCCGTCGGCTTCTCGCTGTTCAACCTGCCCGCGGCCGCCGAGCCCGACAACCTGCTGGCCTACCCCAGCAGGCCTTTCACGGCCCGCTTCGACTACCTCGGCGCCGACAAGTTCTTCCGCGTCATGGTCATCGGCGATGAGGACTCGACCTCGTGCAAGGCTATGGAGCTCGCGCAGCGCGACTACCGCACCCTCATCGAAGCCGGCCAGGCCGCCCCCGGCGACGGGAACCTCGGCTGGGTCGCTTTCGAGGACCACGGTGCCATGCACCTGCGCGTGTCTGCCGATGACCTCAAGGCCGGCTTCGTCCAGGACCAGTACGCCCTCCAGGGCCGCCGGGCCACCTGGTACACCGGTGCCGCCTTCTCGGTGCAATTCCAGACTCACCTCTGGGGCTACAACGACATCCTTCTGCCCAAGCTCGTCGCCTCTTTGGAGTCGTAAGGGCCTCTTGGCATGGGGCTGGTTGTTCGGAGGAGCAAAATAGTAGAGAAAACGGAACAGGCAACTGTGTCGTTGGTGCTCCTAGTAATGTTGGAGTTTAATTTGGCCGTACTAGCCCTGTATCTGAATCTTCATCGATAGACCATAAACCTATAGACTCTGAATAGTGGCAAGCTTGCATAAGCCAAGGTTTTAATCGTCCTCGTCCAACGTGCTTGACCTGGGAATGGCCAGGAGCCATAAATCTGAATGCCTACCTAGGTGTGCTGTAGATGGAAAGGTACGTACCTTCGGCACCGGAACCAGGTATTTCCATGTACAGGGGCCATAATTGGTTGGCATCGTAAATCACGTGGAAGGATGGGGATGCATCCTGGAAATCAGGATCCTTTGAAGAAGCACATGAATAATTCCCAAAGATATTGACCCGACGCTGCCGCTCACTGACGACTCCGTCTCCGGCACCACGTAACTTACACCGGCATCGCTCGATCATTGCGAAGTTTCTCCCCCCGTTTTCGAGGCATAGATATGGGCTGCTGTCGTTTCCCTTGATTTCGAATCCACGCCATGCGCAGGTAGTCTTGTCCAGATTCTCCTCAATCCTCCGCTTCCCGCCCAAGCCGTGTCCAGCTCGAGCTTCACCATCAACCGCCCACGGAAGTATTCCTATCGTCGAACCGACACCGACCGAGTCCCCTGAGACGGATTCCAAATCCCGCATCCCTCGAAGCTGCCGCGATGACGGGCAGATCTCGCCGAGGGGTCAAATTTACCCACAAACACTCCCATCCAAACGGACAGTCGGCCGCCGACGGCCGCCGCTCAAGTTTCAGCGATGTCAGCGAGGAAGGCTCGCCGACCAAGTCCAGGGGGAGTGGGACGCTGGACAACATCGCAGAGGTATGGTTCCCGCGCTCCTGCTCAACCCCTGCCTGCCGCCTTTGACGACGCGCCCGTCGTCCCCGCGTCTTCCCCTCGTCTTCCCCTCCTGCTTTCCACTCCCATCGACAACGCATACGCTAGGGCGGTTTTAGCTAACACGTAGGCTCTTGTGCAGAAACCACGGACGGCCGAGCAGCAACGATCTGATTATGAGAAGAAGAAGGCCAACTTCATGACCCGGACATTCTGGACCTTTGTCATGATTGGCGGTTTCTTCGCCGCGCTTTTCATGGGCCATGTCTACATCATCCTCATTATCACCGCCGTTCAGATCATCTCCTTCAAGGAGGTGATCGCCATCGCCAACGTCCCGAGCCGAGCGCGCGACCTACGCTCCACCAAGAGCCTCAATTGGTACTTCCTCGCGACGACCATGTACTTCCTATACGGCGAGAGCGTCATCTACTATTTCAAGCACATTGTCTTGGTTGACAAGGTCCTTCTCCCGCTGGCTACCCACCATCGGTTCATCAGCTTCATCCTCTATGTGTTCGGTTAGTAGCAGTTTCGATCCCTCCCCCCTCCTTACGGGCTTACTGACAGTTGGGCAAAGGATTCGTCTTCTTCGTCGGCTCCCTCAAAGCCAGCCACCTCAAGTTCCAGTTTGCCCAGTTCGGATGGACACACATGGCGCTGTTCTTGATCGTCGTACAATCGCACTTCATAATGAACAACATCTTCGAGGGCATGTTCTGGTTCTTCCTGCCGGTCTCGCTCGTCATCACCAACGATATTTTCGCCTACATTTGCGGAATCACCTTCGGCCGGACGCAGCTGATCAAGCTGTCTCCCAAAAAGACTGTCGAGGGCTTTGTCGGCGCATGGGTCATGACTGTCATCTTTGGGGTTTTCTTCAGCGCCGCCTTGGGCAAGTCGAAGTACTTCGTCTGCCCGGTAACCGACCTCGGGGCGAACATCTTCACGGGCCTCCAGTGCGAGCCCAACCCGGTCTTCCTCCCACGCACATTCCAGTTGCCAGAACTCTTCTTCCTCCCGCCGAACACGACTTTCAGCGTTACCCTGGCGCCGATCCAGATCCACACCTTTGTCTTTGCGACCTTTGCCTCCCTTATCGCACCCTTTGGCGGCTTCTTCGCCTCGGGGCTCAAGCGCACTTTCAAGATCAAGGACTTTGGCCATTCGATTCCCGGACACGGCGGCATGACTGACCGGATGGATTGCCAGTTCATCATGGGCTTCTTCACCTACATCTACTACCACACCTTCATCGCCGTCCACAAGGTGTCTCTCGGCCAGGTCATGGAGATTGCCATCACCGGCTTGACGGATCATGAGCAGGTCGAGCTTATCAGGGGGATGGGGAGGTACTTGGGGAACCAAGGGCTCGTCTCGAATGAGGTAAGGAACTGCCTGTCCCTGATTATTAGAGATTAGACCAACTCACCCCCATCGGCAGCTTTTGGCTTGTCTTGACAGCACCCTTCCCGCCAGAAGATAGGGCTCTTTGGACTTCTAGCAGACGCAGAATTTGGGAGGTGGGAACAGGTCACGGCTACGACTACGGGATAGGCACACGCAAGGCGGAGCGTGGATGACCTCGGCCGGCGATAATGAAAGAAAGTTCGTCGTCGTCAGGTACAAATATAGGGGTGGGCGTGGAATTCTTCAACAGGAGGAGATGTGAGAACGGCGGAAGCCCACTCGCCATCAAGCAAAAAAAACGCATGACATGGAGTCGGAAAAGGGGAGAAAGGCAGGCAAACCCGCAGGGTGGGAAACTCTATGCCGCCACGTATTAATCACAGCGCTTCGGCTCTGATGGGCATCACTTTTGCCCTGCCGGTTGTATCATATCTCGAGCGCTTCTTCTATTTGTTTACATATTCTTTCTATCCATTATATGATTGTGCACGACTGTACCAAGGAAGATGGGCCAAGTACACGGGCAATTGAATCAAATTATACATGTTGATACCGTGTGCTTGTCAAAAATCCAATCCGTACATAATTGAGACTGCAAAGTAGGTAATCCGTACAGTACCTATGGAATTGAGGAACCCCAGCGGGGAAACTTTCCCACGAGAAACACAAAACCTGGGGAAACTGTCCTGCCCCCCACGCATTGCCGTGGGTCTGTCTTCCCGCAATATCTGCCGGTCGCGGGCGGTAATGAACAGCATGGGCAACCGCCATGGAAAACGTTCGGGGCGGCGATGGCCGTGGGCAATGGTTTCGAGTATTTCTCTCCTCCAAGTCCTGGAGATGTTTGTCTGGTCGCTTGGGATTTCTAGCCCACCCTTCCAGAAATGTCCGTGGAAAAGCGGGAAGGAGCGCCACAATCCGCTAGTGAGGAGCTTGGCGTGAAACAGGAAGAACACGATGGGGGCGCCGAGCGAACAGATTCACAGGTTGACAGCCAACCTGGCCCTCCTCCCAATGGGGGATGGGTAGCTTGGCTTCAGGTGACTGCCTCGTTTGTTCTCTACTTCAACACCCTGTCAGTCCTGCCCTACCATTCCAGGTCCTTTCCGTTTCCTATCTTCCATGCCTAACATGCGACCAGAGGCCTTGTCAACACCTATGGGGCCTTTCAAACCTACTATGAGCACGAGTTGCTCCGGGATATCTCGCCCTCGGCCATCTCATGGATCGGCTCCATCCAGACATTCTTCCTCATGGCCGTAGGGGTCGTGATCGGCCCGCTCTACGACCTGGGCTATCTGCGCTCGCTGCTGATTGCGGGGACCTTCCTAGTGACCTTTGGGTTCATGATGACCAGCATAAGCACCGAGTATTGGCAAGTGCTCCTGGCACAAGGAGTCGGCATCGGCCTGGGGACCAGCTGTCTCTCCATCCCCTGCATCGCCCTCGTCCCTACCTATTTCACCACGAGAAGGGCGCGGGCAATGGGCCTGGCGACGGTGGGGAGCAGCCTGGGGGCGACCGTCTACCCCCTTATTTTCCACAACCTGCATCCGCGAATCGGGTTTGGCTGGACCATTCGAATCATCGGCCTCATCGCCGGAAGCATGTGCTGCTTCTCCACCGTGGTGATGCGGCCTCGGGTAAAGCCCAAGCCGCCGGCGCCCGGCAAGAAGGGGGGGTTCAGCTCGGTCAAGGCGCTCGCCAAGACGGCCGGCCTCAAGGAGCGGCCCTACATGATGTTCTGCATCGCCATCCTGTTCAGCAACATCGCCTTCTTCGAGCCGCTCTTCTACCTCGAGAGCTACGCCCTAGCCCACGGCATGGAGGGCCGGAAGATGGCCAACTACCTCCTGGTGATCCTCAACGCCGCCTCCATCCCCGGCCGCATCGTCCCCTCCTTCGTCGCGGACCTGATCGGGCCCCTCGACACCTTCCTCGCCATCTGCGCCCTGACGGCCGCCACGACCTTCTACTGGGTCAGCGTGTCCAACGAGGCCGGCAACATCGCCTTCGCCGTGCTGTACGGCTTCTTCTCCGGCGGCGTCGTGTCGCTCGCCCCCGTCGTGCTGACCACCATCACCGCCGATATGGGCCGCCTCGGCACCCGGCTCGGCTTCGTCGCCGTCCTCAAGGGCTTCGGTTCCCTCGTCGGCCCGCCCGCTGCGGGCGCGCTGCTCGGCGCTACGGGGAGGTACCTTGGCGTGCAGCTCTTTGCTGCGTTTGCCATCTCGCTCACGGCTTTTTTTACGCTTGTGCTGCGGTTTGTCGTGGCGCGTGGAAAGATGGGCACATCTGAGGCTGGCAAGGTGGAGAGTAGGAGTGGGGAGAGCGATACGCAGGAGAGTGCGCGTGTAGGATAGCAGTAGTGCGATGGTGTGAATGAGAGAAGGCGAAGTGGTATCCTGCCCGGATTGACTTGCCTGATGCATCAACCATCCACCCATCAGGTGTCCGTCCATGTTGAGTAAACGACCCACGCCATAATAAATAAAAGTTTTCAATCTCCGGTCCACCAAGTCCAACGGCCCAACCATCCCCTGAAAACGGCAGCCATCCCCCCAGCCACGCGTCCCACAGCGGCAGCAATAACAACGCCCAACCCCCCCGCAATCTGAACAGCGCCGTTGACGACGACAGCTCCATACCCAGCCATGCCGGCGCTCTGGAGGACCGCGAACGCCCCGCCAGCAGCAGCGTTGCCGACGAGGGAGTGCAGCCATGCCGCGAACGAGCCTTTTGGGTGGAAGGTCAGGAACCGAAGGGGGGAAGGTACAAGAAGAAACTTACCTGCGACGATGCCTCCGGCCCCAAACCCGAGGGCGCCGAGGATGGGCGCCGAGATGGCGGCCGGGAAGGCGAGGGCTACCGCGCTGGTGACGAGGGCGCTTGCTGTGCGCGGGTTGGCCTGGACCCAGCGTGCTCCATCGGTGAGGGGGGAGGGGCGGTTGGGGTCCGTGGGGGGGTGGGCTGGCTTGCGCGGCCGCGGCTGTGAGAGGGTTAGAGATGAGGTGTTGAGTTATGTTGGCGGGGGGGAGGGCTGGGATGGAGACCTCTCTGGATGGCTGACGAGGCATTGCGGTTCTGGGGTTTCTCTGGTGGTTGGAAACTGCGAAGGAGAGGCTGTGGGATATAGATTGAAAGGGTGGGCCGGTTGGATTGTTGAAGACAGTATAGAGTTTTATGTTTGGCAATATAAGCTTTCTATGTACAGCAGGAGCATCTGGTGGCTACATTCCATCTGGTGGCTACATTCCATCTTGGAAACAGCGCAGATGCTGCAGAGCTGAGCGTCTCGATCGTTTCCTTCGAAACCAGGCAATACTTCCAGCCCAACCAAGTCTTAGGCAACAGTGCAGCTTTTTCTCCTTCCCGCAGCTGACTGCCGCCCACCTTGATTTCTAGCACATCGGAAACATGGCTGATGTTGGGTCCCCAGTCTTCGAAATTGGTAGTTAACTATGGAGTACCTAGGTAACTAATGACCCATCACGTTCAAGATGGAGACATACATTTCAGACACGTTTCTATACATGAAATATCTAGCATATAAGATGGAGAAACAATATATATACAAAGAACCACTAATGAATTTCCAGTCTTCGTATCCCTACTCTTCAGACCCTGACGGTCAATCCCGTGCCAGCCTTCGCAACCCTGGTGCCATACAGGAACACGGCGGTTAAGGACAGCGTAAAGCCAGCAAACAGCTGAACACCAAGGTAGCTACCAGTCGCCCTGAGGATAGCCCCCGCAAGCGGGGCGCCGCACAGCGAGGCAGTGGCATTGAACAAGTTGGCGGTGCCAAGGCGGGCGCCGAGGAAGCGGAGGTCCTCGGTGATGGAGGCGAGGACGACGGCGGGCAGGGAGACGATGCCGCCCGAGGTGAAGCCGTACATGACGGCGAAGACGATGTTTCCGGGGCCCGTGTTGACGGCGATCCAGGAGAAGGCGACGATGCCGGCCATGGTGGCGACGGCCATCATGGTGTTGACGGCGCCGATCCAGGGGACGAAGTACGACGGCGCCAGTCGGCCGAGGACCGAGGCGGCGTTGAGGATGGCGACGAGGTGCAGCGCGATGTTCTCGTTCGTCAGGCCGTGGCCAAGCGCATACGTCTGCAGGTAGAAGATGGGGCCGAAGAAGCCAAAGTTGCTGAAGAACATGGCGAAGCAGTAGCAGAAGTAGGGGATCTCGCGGAAGGCCTTTGGGTCGAACAGCGAGCGCACGAGGCGCGGCTGCGTGCGCGTGCGCATGACGGCCACGGCGAAGGCGCACGTCGCCAGCGAGATGAAGCCGAGCACCCGGATCGTCCACCCGAAGCCGATCTTGGACACGAGGCCCTGGAAGACGAGCGGGTACACCACCCCGCCGAAGCTGCTGCCCGACACGGTGATGCCCGTCACGAGGGCCCGCTTCTTGAGGAAGTACTGCGGGAGGACCGAGAGCGTCGGCACCACCAGGCAGCCCGCGCCGAGGCCGATGCAGAAGGCCTGCGAGAGAAGGAAGTGCCAGTACTTGGATGAGAGGCTCGTCATCATGGCGCCGAAGCTGATGGCGAAGCCCCCGGCCAAGATCACGGTCTTGAAGTGGCCCGCGTCAAAAAGGGGCCCCGATATCACGCCCCCACCGAGGAGGAGGAACGATTGGATAGAGCCTATCCATGAGATGGCATCCGGCGACGACGTCTTGAGCATGTGTGTCTCGTAGTAGGTCTGGAACACACCGAATGTGTTCACCATACCCCTGTGCGCTGTTAGACGGCCCTCCTCGGATGGGAAGGCCGGGGGAGATCGGCGCCGATGCCGATCGGGACTCACCATGTGTTGAAGAAGATGGCAAACCCCCCCGCCACCTGGAGCCACGCCATAAACCCACCGTCGGGTATCTCGTCGGTGACCTCTTCGAGAACCGGTGGGAGAGAAACCGGGGCCACAGAAACCTCCTCTGCAGGCGGCCGTTCTTCTTCCGGAGGTTTATCGCTGCTCTTTTCCATGGTGACCGTTAAATGCGTCCGTTGTTCGTTGGCAGACGCAGTTTTCACACTTCAGCGTACCACCCCTTTGTGGATACCTAGCTTCTTGGCATCCACCCCAGAGGCAGTCTTGGGCTTCTGTCGGCGGCGACTTGTGATGAGAGAATAACTGGACCAGCTATGAGAAGCACGATTCCAGCCATGGACTCAATTGACTCCCAAGTTTTCCTCCTCGACGACGTTCGGCTTAGCAATCGAGGAGTCAAACAAACCGCTTCCCCCGCTCTTCCGTTGTCGGCATAACCGATCCCGGCTAGACCCAAAAGCGGCAATCTGTTGGGTCAACCCTTCCCCAGGGTAGATGCAGTATCCCCGGTGACCGAGCCGAGCCGAGCCCCGCCCCCCCGGGTCCACTTCCCCCTGGTGTCTCCACCTAATTACCTCCAAAGTCGGGCGTCAAATCGGCAGACAACGATGAGCTTGTCAGAATTTCGAAATCCAAAACTCCCACCACCATCTAGTTCTCTCTCAAGGTGCTGAGTGCGAACCCGTGGAAATCGGGCATGATTAAAATTTTGAATCTGTGTATTATGTTACCCTTCGAACTCGATACCATTTGATCTCTGTTTTACCTCCGAGACTCTCCGAGGGTTCTCAATCCATGGTAGGAACCGGCAGATGGAAATATGGTTCTTAGTTTGACCGTCAAGCTTGGCAAATGCGATCGATGCACCAAGGTGGTTGTCCTGGGATACCATGATTGCCCAATTCTCGGCCTTTGACGAGCTCGCTTCAGATGCAGAGAGCTTTTAATCCTTTCCATTCGGCTCCTTCCGAGCGTCATGCCTGTTCTTTGAAGAAACGTGGAAAGTGAACGGAAGGCGTTCGGCCAGAATCCTGGAATACCATCCAAGATGCCTCCAGTAACACATTCCTACTCCAACCGGCATCTTTGTTGGCCTTGACGGTCAAACCATGGCGCCGCCGCCGCCGGTACGCCTCCGATGGATGACCTCACTTCATTCAACAGGAGTGACGCGCCTGGGGTAATGGACGGGGTGCCTCCTTATGCTACTGGATCTAGCCTAGCTCTCGAAGGGAGCCTTCCACACGACGACTTTGGGCCGCAGATCAACCTCACGATATGGTTTCTGGTCGACGCGATTCTTGGGCAGCGCATCTACTCCAAATTCCTACATCATAGGCCGCTGTGGTGGGATGACTACGTGCTCATATCTGCATGGGTAAATTCGGATTCTGGCGAAGGAAGCGCGACGCCAAAGAGGACTGGCGAATCGGTGCAGGCATCCATAATCGCGGCAAGCGTCCTCGCGACCGTGCCCACGGTCTTCGGCTACGGCAGGCACAGCTGGGACGTCGCGCCCGCGGACCTGACCCGCGGCTGGTGACCGCGGGCTCTCATGTCGACGCTGGCGTCCGCGCCGAGCAAGACAATCCTTCGCCATGACGCTGCTGCGCATCTCCTCCGGCTGGGTCAGGAGGGCCGTCTGGGTCTGCATCGCCACGCTCAACCTCGCCATGGGCGCCATCGCCGTCCTGCTGTGGGCGCAGTGCACGCCCGTCTAGAAGATCTGGGACTTCTCCGTGCCGGGTTCGTGTCTGCCGCGGGATGTCATCACGCGATACAACACCTTTTCTGCCGGTGAGTTGGTCAGGGACTTGGTATCTCCAGCGGTTGCGGCGCATCTGACAATCGGTCTGCGTAGCCTACTCATCCGCCATGGACATTACGCTTGCTCTCCTGCCGTGGGAGATCCTGAGGCACCTCACCATGGATTGAAAAGAGAATACTGCCGCCATGCTAGCCATGAGCATGGGCGTGTTGTACGATACACATGTGTTGTACGATACACATACCTACCTCCCTGGTTCCGAGAGCTGCCAGAAACACTTGCTGACTGACCGACTTGCCCATATCCAGCGCAGGAATCACCTCCATCGTCAAGATCACCAATATCCACACGATCGAATCTGCCGGCATATGTGAGTATCGAGAGAACACGGGGGCGGAGAACCAGAAAGTGCCACGGCTGACTAGTGTGCATCCAGTTGACGGCGTCGCGTTCGTCCTCTGGCCTAGTGCGGAGAGCACCATCACCGTCGTGGCTGCCTCGATCCCGATCCTACGGGTCCTCATCCGGGACGTCCCTCCGCTGCCGCCCCGGCTCGGCAAACTGGAGCCTTACGTCTCGACGAATAAACCTGACGGCAGAGATTGGCGGCGATGCCAAGGCCTCGTTTTAGCGCCACGGAAGGACGACACGACAACGCGACAGACACGGCATGGCATGGCACGACATAAGGGAGGCTGGGGGGACGGTTATCGATGGGCGTGCTTTTTCGGCGTTTGGTTTGCATCGCCCTGGGGGGTTGATCTGCGGTCACCGGCGTCTTGGTTTGCAAATTTGGGAGAAGGTATATCACAACAGCGACGTTGTATTGATGTGACGGTAACGCGGGGAGCTGCCCGGTTATCCAGTGGGTATCCAACGTGTCGGGGCTCGGGACGGATGTGCCAGGTTGGGAGAAGCAACTTCCTCGCGCCATGTGATACCAGGTCTTTCATGGCTAGTCGTTCTCCCAAGCGGCCGCTCCCTTGTTGGGAAGGTGAACAACCATGGCTTCCATACCCCAGACAAGGCCCAGACCCCTTATCTACTCCCAAGTGACGTGCCAAGCTCGGTTGGAACTACCCGGCGAGATTCTACTGGCCGGTAGAAAGATGAATGGCAAACACGCCGTTTTGCGCGACCTGCGGCGCCCGATTGGAGGATCCGATAGTGCTCAAGAGGGCGTGGGTCCCTGCGCTGCCTTGCGAGATTGGGGAAGGTAGCCGTGATTTAATCGACGGTGCAGGCTTGTGTATATCTTGGCTCCCCTCGCCGCCCTCAAATTGTGTCGGGACGATAGAATAGCCAAGCCTTGGTGTTTTCCGCACAGCTTGGCACTTTCAACGACCTTCCTGTCCGAGTAATACCCCGCGTTGCGAATCGCTCTGCAATCGCCCTGCCAAACCTGGTGCGCAGTGTTGCATTTTGGTTCGCCGGGTTGAGAGATATGCGATATTGCCTCCTTATGGCGACGGTTATTATATATCGGCACCATGCTCGCTAACACCTGGGCCCCGACTCCATGGGTCGCAAGGTCGCAAGCTCGCCCGCTGGTAAATATTTGATCGAGTGCTCCCTCTTCGTGACACCGCAGCAGGAGCAGCACCAGCCGTAGCAGCAACCCAACAAAGCCAGGTCCCTCTCTTTCTCGTCGAGTTGACATGTCGGCCGAGCAAGAGAAGACGGCCGCTGCCGTCGGCGTCGCTTCGCCAGAGAGCGAAGCGGCGGAAGCCCCCCCAAGTGAGAAGGACAGGCGCACAGGAAACTCGGAGGATGATGTCAAAGTCGACATCAACCTCTCCGACGATGAGCTCGTGGTCACCGACATCTTCAAACCGCTCCCGCCTTTGGAGGGTGTCCCTGCGGAGCCACACCCGCTGACCATGCGTGCTGTCCTCGTCGGTGTTCTGCTTGGGTCACTGGTTAACGCTTCCAACGTGTACCTTGGTGAGTGCCCCCAACCCCTCAACCTGCAAATGCCGCGGTATCGCTCTGACGACGACGACGTCAATAATCAACAGGTCTGAAAACCGGCTTCACGTTTGGATCATCCATGTTCGGCGCCATATTCGGCTATGGCATCGTCAAGATCTTATCCACGACCTTTGCCGGCGTGCCCATCATCGGCATGCCCTTTGGCCCCCAGGTCAGTGCCCAACACAGTCATCGATGGTTACTAGTCACAGTCACTGACACACACCACAGGAGAACAGCATCATCCAAGCAGCCGCAGCCGGTGCTGGTGGTCTTAGCGGCCTCTTCGTCGCCGCCCTGCCCGCCATGTACAACCTCGACCTCCTCTCCAAGGAGGTCAAGGACGATTTCGGCCGCATCTTGACTCTGACGTTGATCGGGTCCTTCTTTGGTCTCTTCTACGCGGTGCCTCTTCGCAAGTTCTTCATCGTCAATGTTGCGCGAGAGCTGCGCCTGATCTTCCCCACTGGTAAGGCCCCCCTCCCGCTGCTGCCCTCGTCCAAATTGAAGAAGCTAACTTCGGCCCGCCGTTCTCAATTTATCTAGCAACTGCCACTGCCTTCACGATCCGATCGATGCATGCTGTCGGCTCGGGAGCGCAGGAGGCCATTGCAAAAATCAAGGCGCTGGGCTATTCCTTCACTGGCGCCCTTATCCTGCGAGTCGTCTCGGATTATGCCCTGGGCATCCTCTGGGATTGGCACATCTTCACTTGGTTCTATATCTGGGGTGGATATAACAACTGGGCCATCAACATCGAAAACTGGGGCTGGTTTGTCGAATGGACTCCAGCGTTCATTGGTAAGAATCATCCCTCGCCATCACCATCGCTGCGCGCCGTCCGCTAACCAAGACTGGATACAGGCTCCGGTCTCCTTGTCGGTGTCAACGTCGGTGTATCCTTCTTCGCCGGCAGCTTCTTCGCCTGGGGGTTCCTTGGCCCGATTCTCGTCCACTACGGCCTCTGCATCGGCAAGCAGCTGGCTCCCGGTGATGAGAAGTGGGATGCCGTGGTGACCTTCAACTCCATGTCCGGCATGGGCTCGCCCGGCTACGTCCCCAGCCCCCGTTACTGGTTCCTCTGGCCCGGCGTCATGGTGATGCTGTGCTATTCCATGGCCGAGTTCTTGGTCCACTTCAAGATCATCTGGTACGGCATAAAGTACTCGTGGACCAACATCGCCACCAGCCTGCGCGACACCCTCGCAAAGCGCGGCAAGAGTAGCCCGTTCCTCGACAAGCAGGCCGCCAGGACCTCGGACGAGGCGATGGTGGTCGAGGATTTTGCTACCCCGGAGCAGCAGGTTGCCAACTGGGTTTGGGCGAGCGGTGCCATCGCCGTGTTGATCGTGACTTGCATCATCTGCGAGGTCCAGTTCCATATCAACGCCGGTAAGTTTCTCCCTCCCTCACTCACTCTCTCTCTCCATCCACACAAATGCAGTACCAACACCAACTGACACGCCCTCGGCAACAGGTCTCGCCATCCTAGCATCCATCCTCGGCATCATCTTCTCCTTCCTCGCGATCCACGGCTCCGGCGTCACCGACATCACACCGCTGACGGCATCAGCCAAGGCATCACAGCTCGTCTTCGGCGGCGTGACGACAGGCCAAGGGATGGAAATCAAGGTAGCGCAGAAGGCCAACCTGATCGCGGGCGCCATCGCATCCGCCGGCGCCGACATGTCCAACGCTCTGACCAGCGACTTCCGGACGGGGTTCCTGCTCCGCACGCCGCCCAACCTGCAGTTCTACGCGCAGGCCGTCGGCACGCTCGTGGCCATGTTCCTGGCCCCTGGAATCTTCATCCTGTTCGCGTCAGCGTACCCGTGCATCGTGTTCCCCGTGGACGACGAGCCGTGCCCGTTCCTAGCGCCGTCGGTCAGCGCGTGGCGCGCCGTCGCAGAGGCCGTCACCCTACCCAACATCCCCATCCCGCTGTCGTCGGGCATCTTTTCCATCGTGCTCGGCGTCGTCGCCGTGCTGCAGGTCCTCGCGAAGCGGAGGTGGCTCGTCGGGGAAAGAGAGAAGTACCGCGTCTATCTGCCGAACTGGATGGCCGTCGGCGTGGCTTTCGTCCTGCCCGCCACGCATTACGCTACCGCTACCATGACGGGCGCCCTCATCAGCCACTTCTGGCTCAAGAGGAATCCCCGGTCGTTCGACTTGTACTGCTACGCCATCGCGGCGGGGCTCATGGCCGGTGAGGGACTTGGCGGCGTCATCAATGCCGCGCTGCAGCTGGGTAATGTTAGTGGGTCTGTATATGGGACGAATGTCGGCTGCCCGCTGGATTCGTGCTGAGGATGGGGCATGGTGGTGTCGATTTCTCCTTTTCCTCCCCCCTTCCTCTTCTTTCTCTCGTTTGTTTTGTGTGTTTGCCTGTCCTTTCAGCAGCATCGGGAGGAGACAATGTGATAGAGATACCTTTGTTGATCCGTGTAGCCACTGTAGTCCCCGTAGTAATTATACGAACATATGGACTGTCTTCAATTCACAGACACAGGATGACAACCAGAGTAAATGACATGACGAGGAAAGCGTCAAGACGAAACCAACTACTGCGTCACATCGAATTTTGTAGAAGAGAACTGTATTTATGTTGTAAGTGGTAAATGTAAGCTCTATATGAGCATCTAGGCGTATATTGACAGTGCTTGGTGATATATGATCGTCGATGTATGTATGGGGCGAAACAGCGAATCGATAGCAGGTGGAATGTGTTGCTATGCGCATTTCCCCCAAGTCATAATTCATAGCCCTCGAGAAACGTCTCCCAGAGCCCTCTAGACGGTCGTAATCTTCAAAAGACCGTCTTGAGACCCCATCCAACAGCGAGGCCTCTGGCGACGATATAACAGACACAGGCCACGCAGTACGAGGCTCCCGAGAAGATGATGGCAGCGATCCAACCGGACTCGCCATCCCCCCCGACGCTGACCAGCGCACCTGCGATAGGAAGGCTGCTCAGCGTCCCGAAGCTCGCGACCATCATGGCCGTGGAGAAGAAGCGGCCGTACTCGCTGGGCTCGCAGAGCTGGCCGAGGCACACCGCGATGAGGCTGAGGTTGCTCCCGCTCGTGAACCCGAAGAGGACGGCGAAGGCGAGCAGTATGCGCGGCGAGTCGCCGGCGGGCAGCCAGAGGCCCAGCACCGTGGCGGCCGACAGGCCGATGGTGAGGATGATGACGTTGAAGCGGCCGAGCTTGTCGGCCAGCAGGCCCGGGACCAAGCGGCCCACCACGGAGCCGGCGTTGAGCAGCGAGAGGAGCGTGTACGACTTCGTGGCGTCCTGCTGGTGCGCGGCGGCGTACGAGACGATGAAGGTGATGGGCACGAAGATGCCCCACTCCATGAAGAAGACGCCGACGGTGGCGACGGCGTAGGACTTGTCGCGGAAGATGGTGAAGTCGGGCCAGACGGACTGCACCCGGCCGCGGGCGGGGAGGCGGGAGCGGAGGAAGAGGTTGGCCGGCACCGAGAGGCCCAGCAGGATGAAGCCGAGGATGCGTGTGGTCCAGGCGAACCCGAGCTTCGGGAACAGGTGCTGGAGAAGAAGGGGAAAGGCGATGCCGCCGATGCCGCCCGACGTCGTCGCGATGCCCGTCGCGAAGCCGCGCCGCACGCTGAAGTAGTGCGCGATGCAGCCGTAAGCCGGCGAGTTCACGAGCGATCCCCCGAGTCCGCCGAGGACGGAATAGCAGAGAAGGATCTGGTAGTATTCTAAAGGGGTCTGAGTGTCAGAGGTGCCGGATAACTAGATAGGTAGTCGTCGGAGTCGTGGAAAAAAGGGGGCCATACTCTCACATAAACCAAGGAGCATAAGACTCGCGACTATAAGGACACAGCCGACAAGGACGAGGTACCGTGGTCCATAGGCGTCAAAAACAGGCCCGACTTGGAGGCCAACGAAGAAGACGAAGAACAGGTACAGGCTGAAGATCCAGCCGATCTCGGACGGGCTGTACTCGGCGAGCTGGTGGGTCGAGAACCACGATTCGAAGACGGCGGCCGAGTTGATGAGGCCGAAGACGGACATCATGGCGCAGAAGGAGCCAAATACAACGAGCCATCCTTCAGTCCCGCCTTCGGGGAAGGTGTCCGGATCCGAGTCCGGGTCGGTGTCCGGAGCCGTTGCGGTTACATCCCGGCCCGAGCGGCAGCTCGCCGAAGAGTCTCCGGTGCTACCCGCGGGCAGTTCTAGCGTGAATTCACCATGCTTCTCTTGCATTTCCTGGTCACCATCGTGACCCGTCTGAGCGAGGCTCGGAGTACTATAAGGGTAAGTGTGGTTTTTTAGGCAGCTGTCCTCTGCACTAGAAGGGGCGGATATCATTTACGATTTGACAAGCTTGGCCGGAGAGGTCTAAATTTGCATTCCTTCCCGGTGGATTGGAAGCGGCAACAAAAAACGTGGATCCGAGGCCCATATTAGTACCGGGCTCATTGCACGTGATCACAGTTTTGCTTGATAAGCAGCGTGATTTTAACGATAATCCGGGGTCGGCAGTGGTTTATCCTTGTATCGAGAGTCAATGTCTTTGATAGACGAATTTCCTCTCAACGCGTAACGCGTCGTCGGGTCTAAAAGTCTTGACAATTACTGCGCTCTCTACCACCACCCAATTTCTCCAGATGGCATGACGCCAGGACTCGCGTGACCCGGCTGGTGGACATGGATGAATTCTTGGATGACGACTTCGACGATCTGAACGACACGGTCTTGCAAGAGCTCGAAAACCATGCCATCCAAGCCACCCAGGCCCAGAGGCCGGCACAGTCCCAGGCGCCGGCGCCGGCCCCGCAACCACAATCTTCGGGGTACGGGTTTGGTTTTGAGGACGACGACCTCGACGATGCGGTTGTCATAGATGAATCAGCTCAGAAACTGGCCGGCCCCGTTGTCGGCAAGCCTCTCCCACCCCAACAGTCGCGCATGGTGCCGGCCATTGCTGGGCAACCACGATTGCACCAAGGCGGACAGCCCAGTGCTGCTACTTCATTGCCTGGCCGTCCTCAACCACGGATACCTCCTCGACCAGTTCCGCCACCGCTGCCTTCTCAGCGCCACCATCCCCGCCCTCTGCCGCCAGCTCTCCCTTCTCAGCGATACCCTCCGAGACCCTTGCCCCCTCAATCCCGTCCGGCCCCCCCTGCGTCCCAATTCAACCGGCCGCCGCCCCCCGGGCCAATATCCCGCCATGTCCAACCATCCCAAGCGACCGGTGCGGGCAACCACACTGAGGTCATCGCGGCCCTCCAAGCACAGTTGTCGGCTCTCCAGTCCGAACTGACGTCAGCGAAAGGCGAATCTGCCATCTTGAGGTCGAAGTACGACAAGACTCAGACCAGCCACGAGGCCGAAGTTGCACGATTGAAGAAGCTTAATGCAGAGCAGCTGGCTAAGCAGGAACGCGCCGTCGAGGCGGCCATCGCTGCCGAGAGGCACGCCACGACGGAGCTACAATTCGCCCGCCAGGACCTTAAGGAGGAACTGGGACGGGCAAAGAACAGACGGAAGGATGGTGCTACGACGCCGAAGAAGAACAACAAGAACTGGGGTGTCGGGGATGGGTTTGATCACGTCGAGATCCTGCCGAGCCCGACCAAGGGCCAGGGGCAGAGACGAAGGGATCCCGGCCCCGTTGCTGTTCCCCTGGCCGAACGGACGCCGACCAAGGGGAAGAGAAAACGACCAGCCTTTGACAGCCCAGTCATGGCACTCGAGACCCATTCTGACGATGCCATTATGCTCGATGGCGATGATGATGGCGATGATGCTGATGCCGCGCGGGCGGCTTCTCTCAAGTCATCAGCCATCGGCTCCCGCCGGACTACGCTGCCGTTCGACGTGAGTTCTTCATCGCGCTACCCATCGATATCGTGCCTACTAACGACTGTGCAGTTTCTCATGTTGGCTCTCGACCACAGTGCGCTCCACGGCCACCCCTTGACCTTTGATCTCTTCTCTCGGTATGCATTTCCATCGGATCCGACTCGCTCCTTCGCATCCGCCATCTTCGAGATGCTGCCTCGTTTGGGCAAGTCTCAGCAGCCGATCCATCTCCTGATCGACTTCTGTGAGATGATTCTCGAAATGTGGGTTCGTTGTATAAACGAGAGATACTACCAGCCGATATTTGATCTCGTCGCACTGCTGTCTTATACGTTGCAGCTAAACACGATATCCGTGGCTCCCCACATTGTCTCGACCCTGTTACCGACCATCCAGACGACCTGCTTCCTCGTTGCGCTCCCCCGCTTTAACAGTTTCAACGGCGACTTGTCCACACATCTCGACGGCGCAGTCCAGCTGCTGGAACGTGACGTCGACGTTACACAATCCCTCTCCCTCTTATATCTTACTGCGCTGGGCTGCCTCGGCCCCATCCCCAGCAGCGATCTCCCCCCGGGCCTGCAATCGTCCCAGAATACGCCCCAGATGCATTTCTGGAAGCACATGCAACTCGAGTTCATCCTGATGATGCTGTGCCCAAAGCACCCGGAAGAGGACTTCCTCGGCATGCTCTCGCTGCTCTGCACGTCTGTGCTCCCGGACAGCGTCGGGCCCATCGCCAACCCGAACCTGTCCCTCCAGCTGCCCGGGGCCGGTAAGCCAGACGACGAGACACCCGAGTTTTCTGCGCGGTCTCTCATCGACCGCATCTCCTTCTATCTCGCGGAGCCGCCGAACTGGGCCCCGCGGGGGTCCGCGAAGCAGTGCTGGGTCCGACTGGTTGTGCTGAGGACGCTCATGGCCTTTGCGCAGAGCCCCTTTGGCGCCCTTCAGCTTGCGGGGAGCGCCCTGGTCATTCCCCGCCTTGTTACGGTCCTGTGCTGGGCGATTGACAGCTTGTATGACATGGATGTGCCGAAGGGGCTGTGGCCATTGGGGAACACCGGCAGCCAGAATGCTGCCCAGGACTCAATGACAGAGAGGGGTGATAGCGGGCATTGGGGGCAGGATCTGGACATGACGCAGGAGATGAGAGATGGGGATGCCGCCCAGGCGGACCAGCGGGGCGGCCTGTTGGATCCGGCGGACCTTGGCAGAACAGACAACGACGACGACGACGATGTGGGCGACGACATGGACGACGACACAGACAGGACCCGTCTGCTCTTCCAGCTCATATCCCAGCTGACGCTGCTCCTGCACACCCTCATCACCGACCCGCGCACCGCCAACGTGGCCAACATGCCCGCGAAGCTCGTGACCACGCACGGCGCCTCCCAACGCTACCTGCTGACGCTGGCGAGAATCACCTTTGCCGAGGAGGACCTGGTGTTCGAGACGGGCATCGGTGCCGACACGGTGGAGCTGGCCCACGAGTTGTTGGAGCTGGCCGTCACGCCCGACGAGGGCGAGGGGGTCGGGGAGGTCTTTGGGCCGTGAAGAGATCCTGCCTAACCCGAGACCATGGCTTGTGCGGCTGAGATGGTCATGCTGAGCCTGTCTGGGAAGTGAGTCCAAGTCTGTTGCCCGAGAAGGTCTGTCAGGCTCTTGTCACTGGGTGAGCCAGTTGGCGCAGGACATGTAGCAGCATGGAAAGTACATGCTAGTCAGTTTAAGCAGTTGCTAATCTTTGTTTAGAATACTTGACAATGGGATCTCCCCGTGAAACTTCCGCACGAGGATCGGGAACGGTCCAGGCTGATGGCCCCAATTAACCCGCTGAGTCCTTCTCCGCTGAATGCGGTCGCCCCTTGCACCGTGCCGCCGCAGAAAATGAGGTCGAATTCTTCGCCCTGAAAACGGCCGGTCGGATAAGAACCGGCCGGCGTCGGGGTGCGAGGCGGGGATCTCAATAGGGATGTCGATGCCAAGCTCAGCCGCCAGCATCGTGATGTCGAGTTGTTCGACGGTGATGCGTGGTATCAGTCCCCCAGTTCGGGGAACGGATCTCGTGGCCCCTCATGTCGATTAGAAGGCTAATTCCACGGACATATACTCTCGGATTGTGGGCCAGAGCCGCTGTTGTGAAGCCGCCAGGGGCCATGCAGGAAGGTTGAAGGCTCTAGTTAGTCCGTCAACCATGGCTACGACCAATTCCCCCGCGGTGTAGCAAGAAAATTGGTGGACAAGGGTTTATTCCAGTGAACTTCGCTCCATCAATGTAGAGCTGCTGGAAGAGCTTATTATTAAAGTTCCGATGAGATCTTGAACCTACCTGAGACCGAGGACAAGACATGGAGCTCTACCGAATTCTTTGGGGTCGCTCTTCCCTTAACTACAATAGACAACGGGAGACACTGTCCTGTCTTCAACCCATTTTTTCAGTTTCCACGCCGAAAGGCCTAATCCTAATCCTGGCTCTTGACCCGTAGTTTCCGGCCCTCCCCAACAAATTCAAATAGCTAACTACTCCCCATCTTGGCCGTGAGAGCGTGATTACACCGACCAGAAGACGACCAAGTCATCAAAGTCGCCGCTCTGCAGTTCCTCGACCGGTCTCAGGTCCCCGGGCACGAGCGTCTGCCGCACACCCCATGCGCGGGCCAGGGCATCTTCCCCGGCACGCGTGTTGCCTTGGAGGATCAGGGCGCGACCGATCTGGAAGGTCACCCGTGCCAGTTCGGGAGCGTAATACGGGCCTTGACTGAAGACCCGGGACGCTTGTTGTAGAAATACGCTGTGGCACCGCCGATCAATACTGCTTCGCTTGGATACCCCCTTGACCCATTATCGAAGAAGGGAGAACTCACAGTGCGTTTTCGTAGTCTTTGAAGCGCATGTAATGCATGGAGAGGTTATAACAGGCTTTGGCGGTGAGGTGGTGGTTGTCTCCAATGGTCGACCTAAACTGCAGGAGAGCCCGCTGATGATAGATGAAGCTCTCGTCGAGGAGGCCCTGGCTTTGTCGGACGCTGCCGATGGAGTAGAGCAATTCTCCAGTCCTGGGAGAATACAACATTAGCCCCGGTAATAGGTAATTAGGTTGTGGGAAAGGTTGAACGAGCCTTGAGCTCTCCTTATCATCGCGGCCAAACGCGAGTTCGCGATCACGAAGAGCGCCGAGCAGGAGCTCACTGGCTTCTTCGTAGTCCCCCTCATGCCAGCGTACAAGTGCTAGACCGCGAAGGGGATTGAATAGCTGGAGCCTCTTGAAGCCCGGGAGCCTCTCTCTTATCGATATGGACTTCTCGAACATTTCCGCGGCTTTGGTGAAGATCCCGCACGCCATGAGTGCTCTCCCGTACTCGCTGTATCCGGCTGCGAGCTTGTTATCGAGCTTGCCGTCCTTGGCAACCGTGGCTTCTCGAAAGGCAACATTTTCTTCGCGGTGGTATAGAGCCGTTTCTGTTTCGTTCATCTCTAGGCCAATGGAGGACCGAGTGCCGTGCAGCTCCGCGCGAATGAACGACAGGTCCTCAAGAGAGACCTCGGTGAGCATGAAGCCAGACTTGATAAAGTCAAGACATTCACTAGGGTTCGAGCGTTCAAGGTGGTACCTTTGATGGGGGAATCAGTGAGCATATATATATATATATATATATCATTTGGGGACGGGCTCAGAGTGTTGGATTGAGTCTAGTGAGAGTCGCATACCAGGCTCCTTCGGCCAACAGCCAAGCAAAGTCGGCGGTGGCGGTCCTCTGCCGTTTGCTCTCATCGAATTCCTGGAAGATCTGGCGCAACCGTACGACATGTGAGATTATTCGCTCACATTGAGTCCATCGATCGACTTGGTCAAACGCAGGATATCCAGTTCGGGGTGTCGTGACGAAAGGCCATACGGAAGACACGAGTCGAACTGTGGCTTGGAATACCGAGCAAACGAGGTCGTTGGTTTTCAGGAGCTGGGACCGGATCACGTCTTGGACCATTCGGTGTACCGATAGCTCGTTCTGCTCGCGGTTTCGGTGAATAATCGATGACTGGGTCAAGGTTGACAGGTCCCGGAAAAATGCCGCTTTGGTTTGAGGGAAGTCTGCCAGCGAGTCTTGTGGCGCTGTAGTTAGAATTGCCTCGGCAATTGAGTCGGGGTCCAGGAGGGAGATTACCGACAAAATCTGCCTGGCGCCGGGGTTGAAGCTGTCAAAAGCCCATACCGAGCTCAGAGTAAGGCCATATCCATGCAGTGTTCCGACTCTCAACCCATGCAACTCCGACCTCTCCTCTTCCAGGCAATAGATCTCGAGAAATTCAGCAAGTGATAGGTTGCGTCGCCGAATTATTCCTGCCATCTGTACAATAGCCAAGGGATAGCAGTTCAGTTTTTGAACGATGTCCATAGAGAGCTGCTCTGATGAGTCCATCCCATCCTGCTGGGACAATGTTCGAAGGAGGGTCGCAGCCTCGCTTTGATCGAGGGCTTTTAACTCGATCCCCGCATTGCCGAAGAACATCTCGCTCTTTGACATTGGATCCCGACTGGTAACGAGGACCGAACCTTGTCCGTCTCTAGGCCAAAAACCACCATCAAGCAGCTCTTCGGGCTTGTCGGCGTTGTCGAGCACAATGAGCCACTTGGCATGCCTGTCTCCGAAAGGAGAGGACGACTTGAGAGGATCAGCCAACCAAGCCTTCACAATCTCACGGCTGGCGACTTGGTCATCTGCCGATTCTTTGCTCTCGAGGCCGAGCTCAAGCGCCATCCGCGCGAAGCCAGCCGAGAGCTTATCTGTTTGGTCGGCTTGAAGCCAAAAAACGGCGTCATACGAGTCCTGCCTAGAGAATATGTACTCAACCGCTAGTTGGGTCTTGCCAATACCTCCGAGGCCATGTATCACGAATGTCCTTAGTTGTTTGTTGCTCCGAGTGTCCTGACTGCCAGGTCGTTCCTGACACAAGGCTTTGTGGATGAGTTGTAGTTCTCCGCTTCGACCTCGAAAATCAGGATTTCTTGACGTGTGCGGCCTGGTATAGTAACAAGGGAGATTGATCTTTCGGGATCGCCCCGAGTCGAAAGATTTCCCGACAATCTCATAGCTGGAGTCGGTCTTGAGCGAATTAGGGGAAGCTGAGAATGTATTGGTGGATTCGCGGCGAGGCGAACGAGCGTTGGACCAGTTCTGGGGGTTCCGATCATTCGAGCCTTCTTGACCAGGAGTCAGAATGTTTGGTCTCCCTCTCTCCATTGGCTGATCTGAAAGGGGACAACCTACCCTGGACGCCATCAAAGTCAGAGTCCACCACGCTGGTCTTTGATCGTAGGCTCGGCATGGCTTGCCTACCTATCTTTTCTACTCGAGGTTAATGCCCCGATGCGAAAGCTGAATTGCATTGGGCATACGTACTTTCGATCTTGAACACTTGTTCAATCCTCTTGCATGCGCTGGACGAAGTAGTCCGTAAAAAGTCCGTAATACGAAGATGGATGACGGAGTCGGCCAGATCAAAGAAACTGGCGAGTTCAATGTCGATGGCCGCCAAGTTTTCCCCAGGGGCGGAAGTCTTAGCCAACGCTTCTGGCACAAGCTACGTCCACTTATTAAGCCAGGCACACTCGTTATGCTGGGCAGGCGGACACAAGTAACTAACCACTGCTTTTTTGGAGACCCAGAACTGTGATCGGAGTTTCGTAGGCACAGTCTCGTAACAGCTCAGGATAGGAATCTGCAGCTTCAATTCTTCGAATTGCCAAGAGGTATATGCAAGAGCCGAAAGGTCCGACTTTGAGAATGCCCTTTTGGGGTTAGTCATTAGATCTGATCGAAGTACTAGTGACAATAGCCTCGCTGAATCATCGCTCGAATCCTTAAAATGAGGAGTAGCCAGGAAGACGATTCCAGACACCAGTTCAATTATGTCGCGGAAGCGAGTAAACTGCTGCCTAGCCCTCCAAAGCATCTTGGAGTGAATATAGTCAGTAAATGAATGTTGTGCGATACCAAGTGAAGACGCACCTGCTTGAGTGCCCAGCCGCTGAGGGAGTGGCACACAAAGATGATGGGACGACGGCTCGCCTAAGTGACATATATCAGTCTTAAGGCGGAGGATATGGTCTCTCAACCACAGCGGAACGAACTTTTGCCGCCTGGTGGTGCTCGCAGACTGCCACCAGTAAATCCCCGGCCCGAGTTGAAAGTGACTGCCATCCCCCGATCTCGTCAAGACGGACTGCCAAATCAAAGCCTAGGATGTTCGAGTCTTTTGGCGCCAATTTTGATACGAGTGATGGCCAAGTTCCAATTCCGTCAGGGTTTGAACGAACAGTAACGCCATGGACGAAGATTATGCTATGCTCAAGTCAGTTCCTGGGGCCATCAATGAGACTGGCGAAAGCCTTTGGATCAGGTGCATCCTTACTCAGGTCCCGATGACTCAGTATGAGTCGATCCCGGAAGCCTTTGGAGTCCCTTTGACGAAGCCATTTCAGAGAGACTTCGTAAACAGCTCAAGCGTGACGCTTCTGGGCGCAGATCAGATAATCCCCACCAGGTGGGGACGAAGTGAACTCCGCCCGCTGCCGCTAGGGTAGACCTGGGTCGCACCGTTGCGGGCCTTTCCGCAACCTAGCGCGATTATTGGGGGTCCGAGACTTGGCCACCGTGACTATGTCCTGGTGCTGTGATCGAAGTACGGAACGTGGTTGCCAGTGCCCACAGAGCTGGGATGTAGGCCTCGGGGGGTTTTGCCGCACAGGTTTGTGGCCGGACCGCTTCAACCGAACGGATATGAAATCGAATGATGCAGCAGTTTAAAGTGGGGACGCCACCAGTCACGAGTGTCGACACAGATCACGATAAGATTATCATTGGTGGTCAGGGGTCGCGTCTTGCCATGGGGAGGTTACACCAGCTGACATGCATGCTTATCCACGTCTGTGAGTGGTGCCACGCGTCATTTTTCACTGTCTGTGCCGGTGTCTCACAGCCTGCCTGACTGCTGTCCCCCTCCATCACTTGCGGGCGGGGAAGTGAAAATGGACAAACGGCCCTCAACCAAAAGGGTCCGTGCTACAGCCTCGACATGAAGGGTGTGCTCCCGGAGCCGCCTGCCTGTGAAGCCCATGTATCATGCCCAAGCCAACCTTGTGGACACTATGTGTTGCATGTGTCACTGCCACTTCACAACTCCTGCCCACTCACCGCATTGGAATCTAAGCCTCATCGGTATCGGCAAAGCACAATGACTTCTCCAACAGAGCGTCTCCAGCCCTGGAAACACATCGGTAGGTTTGAACCTCACTCTGCTACTAGGTACTAAATGCTCATCGACCAATAGAAAAGTTAATTCGTGGACCGAAGAAAGACTGGCCCGCTTTTGGACCGTCCTCTACCATCAAGGCCGAAATCAAGCTGAATGCGGTATACAAGTGAGTTTCAATTTGGTGACAAGCAGACAGACAACTTTGGGTTTCGCCTCACTGAGTGTCGCATGCCCTGCTACACACTTGTACATACCATACACCTAACACTACATCTTCAAGGAAAAGCGATTCTACCACGGCCCAATCGGCATCTACCGCACGAACACCTTTCAAAAGAGTGTGATAGTCCTCCTAGGTTGTCAGCGGGCACAGTGAAACACGAGCTTCCTAGCCCATCCCGATAGATGTATGTATCTAGGTATGCTAGGAAAGTTGAGTTGGCAGATATCATTTGCCTTATTCAAAGTATAAAAGTGCTCGGACTTCGACGCTTTCTCGGGGGTCATCGGGACCATTGGCCTGTGTGGGCAATTCGAATGATACATGCGGCACGCCTGAAATACCTATGTTATAATCTCTCAGCTAGTCGGCGTTTTAATATATGACTTATTTACCTTGCTTTCCTGCCGAATCGCATTGCCGAAACACCCAGAGCTCCGAGGGGAGCTGTTCGCTCAGGTAGTACCATCGCTGATTTGCATTAAAATGGACCATTAGATTCTCTCTCGATGTGGTGGGATCGAAGACGGTATCATGCGCGCGAAGATCCGAGGGATCAACCGATGAAGCATCGCATAACGCAAGCGGCCACTCTCGGACTGGGCCTTTGAGAGGTTTCCAGACACTTGACCGGTCAGAATATTGCTCGTCAAAGGGTGATATCAGAGACGCGTACTTGAGGTATATGAATCTCCCCTGAGCACGGCAGTTGGCCTCCTCTGGGGTATTTAGCGACCTAATGAGCAGGCGGACTGCCTCGGGTGAAGCATCTTGCATAATAGTGGTGAGAGTTGGGTCAAAAGGTGACAAGTGCCAGAACTAACTGACCAATGTGGGCTTGCACTGCAGGCTGGTTATTGATCTCGAGGTTTGTGTCTGGGAAGGGGAAGTCCGGATGCCGGCGTCGGATCTGTTCTTTAGTAAACAAGGATACCTTGAGAGATGTTGGGCCATCCCATCGTGTGGGGGTAATTAATTACCTGGACGTCAAAGATCTGAACTGCCGCCGCCTGGGTGTACTTGAGCAGGCATGAAGCTACCTCTTGGCAATAGACGTGTTCAATCTTGCTGCTGTCCTTGAAGTCGTCGTATGACAAGCTCGTTTGCATGTCCAGCACCGCAAAGCCATTCAGGTCAAAAGTGAAGTCTTGTTCATGACCCCTGATGTCCTTGACGAGCAGATTATCGACCTTTTCCGGCAAGGCATTAGAAATGGGGATTTCTTCGCTTCGAAATTCAAGATTGTATGTTTTGACAACATGGTATAATTCATCATTTTTCAGGAACCTGATGGATGTATAGATGTCAGACGCTCCTGCCATGGTCGTCATTCTGGTCACTGGGGCAGATCACAGGTGGAAAATTCTTCTCGACAAGCCAGTGTATTGATCAGAGGACTGACGGAAAACGGTATGAATGCTTAGTGGGGTGGACGGCTTTCTTTGGTGAGTGTGAAGGGTCTTCGGCGCGAGCCTTGGGGTGACTCCCCCGCGTCCATACCTAGGTACCTGGAAGCTACCTACCCACCGGACACTGGAATTAGTATCTTCCGAGCCGCCCAGGCCGGTCCAGTACCTGGGCTCCAAGACAGCACCGAGCGCCTTCCACGAGGATTTACTCATGTGACTGAAATCGCCATTTCTTTTGTAGGAACCTCGAAATTTGGACGTCCTTAATGCTGTCGGTCACTGAAACAGGGCAGAGTATTGAACTCCAAATACAATTACATGTTCGACCTAAAGAGTATGCACAGGCCACACCCCCTTTTACCCCTTTTCAACTGCATTATCAATTACCCCTGAATGGCCACTTCTCACAAGCTACCCATTACTCTCATATTCTTCAGCCATTACCTTGACGAGGACATATTGACCGTGAGATACAACTCGTGACATTCATCCTCAGAATGCCTATGCCATCTAGCCTCCCATGACAGTTGCTTGGATTTTCTTGACTCCTCGCCTCATCTTATCACCATCCCAGAAGAGAATGAGGGAGGAAACGAGCAATATAGGCACGGTAACCAATGCCCACACCCAATAACCCCGCGAATGGTCTTTGAACTCTAAAAAGTTCATCCCAAAAATCGAGGTTGAGAATGACAGCGGGACATAGGCAGAAGCCAAGAGAGTCAGTTTGAATACCCTGTGTGACAAGGAGATCCCACTTCTTGCTTCCGAAATGTTCGCATTATTCATAATTGTTGTCAGGGCACGCTCGCACCGCTCCTGCAGTAAGACGTTGCGGTCAACCAGGTACTCGAAATCCTGCTCGGTGCGCGCTGATGCATTCATAGCCTTGCTCGATTGGCTTTGTGGCCATTTCAGCTGCTCTCGATTCTTGATGAAGGCCAGGACTTCGGATATTTTGTGCGACTGCTCTTCTAAGATTCTGCGATAGTGTAGCAGCTTGTTCTGGGCGCGGGAAATTGCCGTGGGATCCATATCGAGCAGGTCCGTATCAGTGTCGTTGAGCTTTGCAGAGATGGCGTTGAGGAGTGTGATCTCAGATGTGGATACAAACGAGAAAAGTTCCGTCAGAGCGTAGAATGGGTCCTGACTCATGGTAGCAGGATGTAGCGACTTCCCGTAACATGTTGACAGTAGGCTGGCGCTTTGGTGCACCAAATCTCTGGCAGCCGATCTTGACGGTTCGGCAGTATATTGGTTGGAAATTTGGTGGTTTGTGAATGGTATGTTCGGTTTAAAGAGGATCGTAGGGCAGAAATAAGTATGGAGTCCTGAGCGGGACGGCTCAAACCATGGGCCTTCAGGGCTTTGGCTCAAATCATCTCCACAATCAAACCATATGATGGCTATCGCGATAGTTAGCAGTCACAAAAAGAATAACCAGCGGGCAAGAGCGACTAACCTATCCATCTTTCCGAAGCCTTGTAGATTCGCGACACGTAAACTGTGACCTTCTGCTCAATACTGAAAAGCTGCTCGTCATGAACAGTGAATGATCGAACGACAGAATTGCCGCACTCCCAACCCATGCCAATTCGCAAATTGTGCAAATACGTGTCCATCTCCGCGGTAGCCTTTGCGCGTTTTGTAGATAGGTTGGAGTGGTCGGCGTTTGTTGCTTGCAGACCAACCGATGTCAACGGCATCTGGAATATCGTTCGCTGAGAGGAAGGCAACACGAACGACATATGCTGATGCTTCTCGGCACCACGTACCAGGAAGGACAAGTGTCGATGGAAGAATTCCGGGTCTATGTTGCACTGTGATCCCACCTCATTGAGCCATTGCGCTGACGGGTAACCTCTCAGGATCAGTAGGCAGTTGTATTCGGAATTTGACGGGTGCTTGCCAGGACGAGAACCGTGGGCAAGAGGACTTGCAGACGCCGGAGAATCTGGTCGAAGCTCGTATAGCCACGCAAAATCACGAGCCCTCTTCTTTAGTAGACTTTGTGTCGGGAATGTTCTGGTCTGGGTTGGTTCGTAGGGTTCCCATAGGAATCGAGCGAGGTTGTCGTATTGTTGACCAGAGTACAGCGAATTGCTGATAGAAGTCTCTGAGTGATCACGCACCCTTTCAGCATATTCCTGGGGACTAACTACTCTCAAATTCTCAGTCGCATAACTTCTTTACCAGTTAAAGTGGACCAAAAGGAGTGCATGACTAACGAGAAACGGAATTGGAGCCTTTGCGTATGTTATGATAACTTTCGTCATCTTCGCGAATGGATGAATGTTCCATTCCATGGCCACCTGAATGATGACGTCGTGACGATGGTGATTTGATTTGATTCATCACGAGAACCTCAATCTTCGGCCCTGTCGGCCATGAAGAAGTTAGAATTAATATATGAGTTGTTCGGCTGCGGGGCCCTCCTGTTTCTGGGACACACCTATATCAAGCCAGGGGTCAAAGCGTGGATAGCCAGACGCGACAGCAAACCTGACTTAGGTCAAGAAGATTCCTTCAATTTTTCTGAAAAGAATAAGAAAAAGACTTAAATACTTATGCCCAGAAGTCGCAATGAAGCGAGATTCGAGATCGAAAGGGCGGATATTAGGATTGGATACAGATACTGATATGTGTCAGAGGCGCAGAGGCGCAGCAGCAACAGAGAGGTAGCTGGAGGCGCAGCAGCGTTATTTAACGCCAGGCTGCAATCCAACTATTCCATTTCAGGCGGATCCGACGTACAGGATGGGGTGTCAATCCAGGCCAAGCGAGGCTCCAAGAAACACTCTTTGGCGTTAAAGATCAAGGTTTTTACCATGGCTTTTCCCACATGTCTTCGAGGCGGGGATGGAAGTATTTCGACTTCAGGACAGTGCAGGTAAGCTTTGAGGGGAGCCAACGACCGGGTTGTGATTATCGATTTGACTCATGTCAAGATGGTCGGCCGTATGAGGAACGCCTCGTTGACGAAACACGACCGCGTCCCAGGGCCAGCGCGCGTCGCCATGTACGAGATCAATTTAATATACTCCTCTCGATAGAAAAACCGAATGCAGTGTAGATATTTCAGCCCAAGACCTCAAGCCGCTCAGGGGGTCGACTGACTCTACCTTCTCACCTGCCCAGATCAAACGCCATCCATCTTCTGCTAGAATTAAACAGCACCACCAGTCATATGCGATATGCAGTACCTATCACCATGCAACGCAGCCAGCGCCCCTCCCCAAGCAGGCTAGTCCCTCCTCACGCCCAGCTCCGCCCCTTCCTCGACCTCGGTCATCTTCAATGCGTCCATAACGTCGTCCACGAAATGACTCTCCCCGCCCACGAGTCCCACGATACCCGACCTCTCCATCCGGGCCCAGACCCCATCATCGCCGTCGCCGTCGCCGCCCCTACTCCCAGGCTTCGGCCCGCGGCTGAAGAAGACGCGCACCCCGCGCTGCCTGTAACCCCTAACGATTTCGGCCAGCACCTGCGTCCCTGACCCATCCATCGAGGTGACACCGTGCACGTCGAAGATGACGTTTCTGTTCGACTCCTCGCCGCGCAGGCGCGGCAGCGCCGGGTGGGCTTCGGAGGTGCCGTACAGCTCGAGGCGGCGCAGGCGGGTCTTGAGCTCGCTCGTGTTAGCGAACGTGAGCGGTTCCGGGATCTTGACGATGAGGCACCCCTCGAAGAACTCGAGCAGGTCCGGGTTGGCCTCGGCGTTCTCGAACCGCTGCGTCCCTGGGATGCGCCCCAGGATCTGGATCCGCGGCCGCGTCGAGTGCCGAATCACCTGCAGCAGCGAGATGCCCACCCCGATGGCGATGCCGAGGGACAGAGAGTAGAATATCGTCGACAAGACGATGATGGTCATCAGGCCGAGCTCCGGCCAGGCGCGGATGCGGAGGAAGAAGGATATGTCCGAGGGGCATTCCTCGATGAGAGACCAGGCGACAACGCTGATCATGGACGAGAGGACGGGTTTCTAAGGGCATCATTAGCCCAGGGCAAGCGGGGATCGTCCCAGGGAGAAGTGGCACTCACCGGCAGATAATAGAGATAGGGGAGAAGGAACAAAATGCAGATAAGAGTTAACATGCTCAAGAAGATGGAGCTCATCGGGCTCACACCACCCGTCGCCTTGTTGACCTTGCTCCTCCCGTAGCCCCCAAATGCCGGCAAAGCCATGAAACAGGAGCCGACGAGGTTCGCGGTGCCGAGGGCCACCAGCTCGCGGTTAGCGCTGAGCTGGATCCCGGGAAACCTCGATGCGCCGCCCAGGCTCTTTGCCGCGACGGATGACTCGAAGAAGCCCAGCAGCGCGATGAGGAACGAGGTCCCCATAGCGTCACGGATATACTTCATCTGCGACGCCCGGAAGGGCCAGCGGAACGTGAACAAGTGTCCCGATGCGGACTCCACCTTCCCGAGGACGGCGACGCCTTGCTTATCCCACCCGAAGTAGTAAGTAAGCCACGCCGATAGCACGACCACGAGGAAGCGGTCGGGGACATATGCGACGGACGGGTACCGGGGCTGCATGTGCCGCTTGATCTCCCTGAACAGCAAGATGACGACAAAGCTTGTCGCCGACAGCGCAAACGTCAGGCCGTGAACCTTATCGAGATTGGCCACGAGGAACCGGAGCTTGTCCACGCTGCTGCCGTGGCTGACACCGGGAGTCTGGTCCTGCAGCTTGCCCAGCCCCAGCTCGGGGACCAATTGGTCGACTGCAATCACAAACCCAATAGCGGAGATGAAGCCGCGGAGGAACGGCCGGGAGAGGACGCCGTCGAGGAAGCCGAGGCGGGTCAGGCCGGCGATGAAGATGGTTGCGCCCGCGATGCCGGTGACGACGCCGCTGACCCTGGCCTGCAGGATTGCGTCGTCGTCGCCGCCCTGGCCCAAGTCGACGCTCGACCTGACGACGGTGCCGACGAGTAGGGAGCCCGCTGCCTCGGGCCCGATCACCAGCGACGGACAGCTGCCGAGCAGGGCGTAGATGAACGGGTTCAGCACAAAGGCATACAGGCCGTTGATCGGAGGGACGTGTGCGAGGTTGTCGGCGAGGGAGAGAACCATTGGCACGTACATGCCGGCAACGGTGAGGGCGGCGACGAAATCGCCCTTGAGGTAGGACCATTTGTACTCGCGCGCCCAGACCAGGACCGGCAAGTAATACGACAGATACCTAAAACCCACGGTATGAGAAACCAACCGACAGACCTGCAACCGGTATTTCTTACATGAACGTGGTGTGCTTGACGCCGTGCCGTTCAGCGAGGGCAGTCGAGGTGCTCATCTTCTTGCTCCTCATCCGTGCCGCCCATTTCTTCTTCCAGCTCTTTTGCTTCCCCGCCATGGTGCTCGCCACGCCATCCACGAGCGGCCTGGAGCTCTCGGAATCGCTGTCGGAGCCGGAGCCCGCGTCGTCCTCCTGGGAGCTCCGGATGCTGGTCGGGCTCGTCGGGCGCGGCGAGAATGTGCCATGGTCGCAGGGACCCTCGTGCGCGTGCTCCCGCACGTCAAGCACGCCTCTCAGCAAGGCCGTCGACTCCGTCGGGAGAGGCGGACGGTGTGGCGTGCTGGGCCCGGCATGCGGGGCGTCGGTTCCCGAATCAGCGTGTTCGTCGGTCAAGGGCGACGATGCGTCATTTGCGGGGTTGGACGGCGTGAAGGTTCTTCGTAGACCGCTGGGGTGGGCGGGAACATGGTCGCGACTTGTCGTGCTGCTGCGGGAGGGAGGATTGGGTCGCGGGCTGGAGGTCATGGTCGTGGGGTCTACCTTGACGGCGGCTTTGAGGTGGTCATGGGCGGTGAAGAGGAGACAGAAGATGACGTCTACAAGCTGAAGGACTACCGGTGGGAAAGTGGAACTAAGCCCGCCTGTCGGGTACTGTACCCACCAGACGGGAAGGAGGACGCTAAACTTTAATGGGACATTGGCACTTTCGGCGCAACAGCGTTCTAAATAATTATTCACGTGAGACCGTGGTATTGGCATGATCCTGACGCGTAGGCAGACGCACTCCCCCGCCCTCTCCCCACTCACCATCAAGTAATACGTCTAGATTATTACTGTCAGGATCTGGCTACCTAGATAGGTCGGTGCTTATCTAGCCTGTAAGCCGGTATATCATCACGCCGCTGTTTGAGTAGAAGTAGAAAAGAAGGCGGCTCTAGCCAAGCACTTGCCCCTCTCTTGTTCGACGACATCCATCCCATAATCCCCGCAATCTTCCAGGCCCAGCTCCCGCAGCTGTTCGCTCTCAACAGACGGATTATACGCAACAGACGATGTCTTCCAATTTGACCAAGTCGACCCACACCTTCGCCACCCATGAGATCCCGCTCGAATGCGACGTCTACGAGGCCCCCGATTATCCAACCGACTCACCCGTCCTCCTCTTCTTCCACAGCGGCGGGCTAGTCGCGGGGTCTAGGCGTAATGTTCCCCCATGGCTCGTCCAGGTGAGCTTCCATCCATGCGGAGAAAACCCCCCAAAACTAGATGTTCGAGGCCAAATCCTGATCATGTCACGTAGACCTGTCTGAAGCGGAAATGGCCGCTTGTCAGTGCGAGCTACCGGCTTGTACCCCAAGTCCTCGGCGACGGCCTCCTCGACGATGCCAAGTCGGCGTATGCCTTCGCCCGCAACCTCGGCCGTAGTGGAGCGGAGCGCCCGGTCATTGTTGCCGGTGCGAGTGCTGGTATGTGGCATTATCCTATGAGACAATCCAAACAGGCAAGCATCCTTTCGTTGCCAAGGTCTCAGTCATTTAACCATCATGTCCTTTTTCAGGCTTCTTCATGGCAACCATTGTAGCCCACCATTCGGCTCCCAAGCCGCTCGCTCTATTCTCCATTACGGGGATTCCGACCTTCCGTCACCCCTTCTTCAACTCGTCCACGCTCATCCCTCCAGACCCGATCTTGGAGGAAGAGGTGGAACATCTTCTGGTCGAGCCCGTGTCGGTCGGCACCACTTCTGCCACCGATTTCGAGCTCGACATGCTGCTGCCGTCCGGGGCAAAGAATTTGCATTTCCAGAAGTCCGCCCAGCCAGCGTCTGACGCATCGGGGCAGGACCCCAACCGTGGGATACTGTACGATTACTACCTCTACGACAACGCGTATGCATCTCTCGTGGGCGGCGTCGATGCGGGCTTCGATTGGGCGAAAGACGCTGCGTCGAGTCCGAAGCTTGAGGAATGGCCCGTGACGATCTTCATCCAGGGAGACGCAGATGTCGATGTCGACATGAATGTCTGTGCTAGCGTAGCCCAATTGCTCGGCGACAAGAAAGGCAGGTGGTGCATCGCAATAGGTCAGGGTCACCTGTTCGAGAAGGAGAGTTTCATCGAGGATGAGGGGCCGGGAATGGACGTTGTCAGACAGGCTGTTGAGGAGTTGGACAGGGCCGTTGCTGCGGGTCTGAATGTCTCTGCTTGAGCCACCTCTTCGTGACAATACAGGCGCCAGGAAAACAAGCATGGGGGACATCTCCAGAGGCCAGTTCCTAATTCGAAGCCTGCTCGGCAGGTCCCACACACTGTTTTCGTAGCAGATACCATTGTGTATGTGTGGAATAGATTTCTCCGCCATGTCTCTTCACTGCCGCGCCGGCCAGGCCGCTGATTGCGCAGTAGTGTAGCAACTAACCTGCCCGCGAACCCGTGGCTGGCCCATGCTCGGAGCGTTCGTCAACAAGAATAAAGACTAGGACTATGGATTGGATGGGCCTGATGGCAATATAAGGTAGTTGGGGAAAAGTCGTGCTCTGGGGGTCAAATGTTGTGGCGTGGTGAGATAAGGTCCATTAGACTGCCGACGACCGCGTGACTGGCCTGGATACTTCTGATGCTACCAACGGAGGGTCGTTTGGCCTGTCGATACTGTGATGGGCACACCTCCTTTGCCGCCATTTCATCCCCTTCCACCTACTGATAATAACAGAAAGAGACCCAGTCACCCCAACAAAAAGAGCGAAGATTGTAAAGTACCAACCGCGCCCAACCGCATCGATCAGGGGCTGCAGAACAGCCGCTGAAGCAGCGCTAAGCCCACATCTCATGATCTGCCCAGAAGCATACGCAGAGCTCGACTTGTCTGGGAAAATGTCAACCAGCAGAGCACTGGCTGTGTGGCTAAGCAACGTTGACAGGCCGCATATGAGAAACTGCAGGACGATGGGAACCGAGGGGTGGACTCGGAAGTAGACCCCCCAGCCATAGCCAGCGACCAAGACTGACATGAGGACAATGAAGATGAGACAATGCCGGTACCGAGCAGCTTCGATGGGGAAGTCTCCAAGCCCGTCGTACTTCTCCCCGGCCTCGAGACCGGACTTTTTCGCAGTGATGGCGTAGTTCATGTCCACAAACTTCCCAGCAATGATTCCTCCAATGGTCATACCAGCCAGTCCCGGCAGGAAGACCAATCCAATCTCAAGCTCGTTATACTCGTAGACATGCGCGAAGATGGACGGAATCGCAACCTGGAAGGTGTAATAAACCGAATACGACGAGGCCACCATCCACAGCACAGAGGCGGCATCCTTGTACAGGATGTTTCGGAAGGACCCAAATGCGCTTGCAGGCCGCCACCTCTGCCTCTCCCCAACCTCGGAGGAATACTTCTCCCTGGCCGGCCTCGTCTTTCCCGGGAGCAACGACCACCAAGTCCTCCACACCCCAACAGCAGGCCTACTGCCATTTCCAACCACACACCGCGCCGTCTCGGGAAGCGTAAACCCCGCCAACCCCAAACACCCAACTGAAATAACCAGCAGCGTCAGAAACACCCACTCCACGCCCTCCGTCCCCAGCGCCACCGCCCCGCCAACCACCGGCCCCACGGCCGACACGGCATTGCACGTCGACAGCATGGGACCCAGCATGCGGCCCCTCTCGGCCGGGACAGCCAGGTCCGCGACGAGCCCGTACGCCAGCGCCGGCAGCGGCGACCCACCGATGCTCTGCAGGGCGCGCAGGGCCAGCAGCGCGGCGTAGCTGTCGGCGCGGTTGAGGGCGAGGCCCAGGCTCGCGGCGGCGTAGAGGGCGACCAGGGCGAGGAGGACGGGCCGGCGGCCGAGGGAGTCGGCGAGCGAGGCGAAGAGGGCCGGGGAGGCGGCCTGCGCGACGGCGTAGACTGTTACGCTTAGGTTGATGGCCTGGGCCGAGACGCGGAATTGGGTGCTGAGCAGCGGGAGGAGGGGGAAGTAGATTGTTGCCGTGAGGGTGGAGAGGGTCATGATGATTCCGAGGAGATAGGTCAGGTAGGTACGCGTTGCGGGGGAAAATTCGGAGTATGGCTCTGATTGCGAGGCGTCGGGATTTTGGGGACTGGGATTTTCGGGTTCGGCAGCCATCGTTGGGGGTGACTTGGTGGAAGTGAGTGGTGCTGTTGCCATTGGATTTTTGCTAGCTAAATAGGTATCTCTCAGAACCTTGGATGGGCCCGAGGGATAACCTACTAGAAACGCATTGGAAAGAGTTCAGCCCTAGTTATATGCCCAAATTACGGTGAAATGTTGACCCTTTCATGCAGTTCATCCCCCGCTAAGGTGGATGATAGTACTACGTTAAGTTAAGTGCTGTACTATTTAACGGCTTAAGAAGTGGCACGTGAATCAGCTCTGGGTGTTGCCGAAGAGCACAGTTATCTCATATGCCAGAGTTGCAATGAGGTAGTGCGAAACAGCGAGACAGTATTACGGGACCAGACTCCCAGTACGAAGAGTGGACGTCGCTAAGTTGATCTAGATCTAAGTTGGAGGTACTCTGGATTTTCAACAGGTGGTATAAAAGAGAAATGAACAATCACCGATCTCGGACTTACATATATCCAAATGATGCCCGGCGACCGTAGAAAGATAATACCTACTACCACCATCAGCACCTGGCTTTCACAGACCTCAGGCGCGAGTAGCAAACTGCCCAACTCTGCACAGCGAAACCCTCATCTATATCTAAACTAGAATATTTGATTTTCCAACAAGTGGTATTATCAAGAGCAATGAACGATAACCACCCCACGCATGCAAATTGTCCTCCTCCTGTATGTACGTATGCTCTATTTCCGCAGCTTAGTGGCATGCACCGTAACCACATCCCCATTCCTTGGGCAAAGCAGCGTCCCATCAGGCGTGACTGTGCAGAGACGCGTGTCATTACTGGTGACCCAATCCCCGGGAAGAAAGTAGTACTGTTCGATCCCCCCAACCTCCGAGCCTGTCCTTCCTTCAGGCCGCAACTTGGAAGAGCTGTCCAAGCGCCAAGTGCAAATCCAGCGGTCCACATCGAGAAATACCAGCCTCCTGCGTGACAGGAATGCGAGTGGCTCACGTATCCGTGCGGCGATGTCCTGTGGTAAGAGGGTATAGGGGAGAGTGTTCTCGCCGTGGGCCATCTCCCCGTTTTCGCCCAATTGCAGGTCGCCAATGTCGAAGAGGAGGTACTGGCTCTCGATATCACCCGAGTCGTTCGACAGTAGGAGTTCTAGCAAGACCTGGGGAGAGCCAATACCAGAGACCACCCTCCCTAGCGTCTCACTCTCCTTTTGGAAGCTGCCCGTGCGCCCATGCGGAAATGATGAGTCGGATGCCAGTGATGGCCTTCCAATCCGAGGCGGAAAGTAAGTATGCACTTCAGACTGTCTAAGATCTGTCCAGCTAAAGATGTGCACCTTCATGTTGCCGAATGCCAGGAGAGTATCCGGTTGCATCGGATGGCATATCCATTTTACTTTGGGCGGCATGGTTGACTCAAGCGGGGACTCGCTCAAGGCCCGGGATTCGAGATCGATGGAGAACAGCACGGAAGGGGTGGGCAAGAAGAGCTTGTGGCCTGCGGGGTGGAAGATGACTTGGCGAATATAGCCCCGTTCCGTCGGAATGACAAGGTCAAACTCATGGAGCACCTTCCATTCGTCTCGGTTGTCTCGGGACCTGGACACTCGCTTGATGGCAAGATTTCCGCCGAGATCTGCGAGAGCGACAGTGCGGCCATCATCGCTCCAGGCAACATGCTCGATGGGCATATAGGATGCCAACCTCTCCAGCTCGCAGACTTTGCCACGTCCTGATTCGCACAGTATGGCAACCCCCCCTTCGGTGCCGTAACAGTAAAGCGGACCGACAGTCTGGCCAGCGAGAGCGATGACACTGTCGACCCTGGGGAAATGGTGCTCCGCGCGCAGGGAAATTTTGGCAAGACTCTCTGTCTCACTGTGGGAATCGCTGCTGTGGTCTGGGCAATCTGCGAGGCGGACCAAAGTGTTGGGCTCCCATACGTTGCCGTAAGACCCCCGAATGTCATAGAGCCGCCTAGAGTCGGTGCTGAAGGAGAGATTGAAGACAGGGTCTTGGGATGCAAGCTGGTAGAGCACCGAGAAGTCGGGAGTGGCGTAGATTTTTATCGTGCCAACCGCGTCGCCGGTGGCAACAAAAGAACCATCCCAGCTAACGGCCAGGCAGTCTGCACCTGCCTGGACTTTGATGCTGGCCTCTTCCTCGTATGGGTCCCATTTGAAGAGTAACCCGACTTGAGTCAGGCCAAAAACCTCGCCGCTAAACGGATGCCATCCAAGCCTAAACACTTCACCGAAAGTGTTGCATTCGGTCGTCATGTCTGTTGCGTCCAGCGGCATGGTGCACTGGCCGAGTAGCATCGGGGGATCCAATTCCCAGACTGTGAGCGGATGGCTACGGTAGCCGAAGGCAATCATGTTGCCGTCTGGACTCAACTCGGAGCAAATGGGGAAGTTGACCATGGTTTCATCCAGGCTTTGCTCCTCGATCTGACAAACAAGGCTCCATTCCTCAGCAGAATCATCATCAAGGGAAAAGCTCCTGAGGCATCTATCCTCGCCGCAAGCAATCACAGTGTCATTCTTCTCAGTGAAGAGTATGGCGTGGGGGCGAGGGCGTTTTGCCGGATTTTTGACCGTCTTGATACACCTCCCCGTCGCTATATCCCACACTCTTGTGGTCAAGTAGCCATAGGTCACAAGAAGGTCGCTGAGTTTGTTGGTCTGAATGCTCAAGACACGCTCAGGATGTGTGATGCGGCGTTGTTCCTCAAAGGTAGCTGAGTTGTAGATGATGACGTGGCTCGTCTTTCGAAAAACCGCAAGAATTGCGATGCGGGTACCGGCAGCAATCACTGAAGACGCAAAGAGACCTTGGGCCATGGAGAAACGTGCAAGGCAGTCGTCCCAGTTGCTGGTAGTGAACCCGGATACCTGAAGCGCTCGCTCTCTTCGGCCGAACTGCTGATAGACCATAGAGTCCTCGGGACAGAAGGGGGGAATCATTTTGTAGATGGCATCCGGGTGTTGCTTCAAGTTATTGCCAAACTTTCCAACGATCTTGACAAGGTCGGTGGCCCAACCCTCGATCACAGCAGTTGCTTGGCGTTTCGAGACTGGCTCGTCATCGTCCCGCCTCCGCAACTTGACTGCAACGTCAGCCAGATGGCGGGAAGCAACAACCAAAGTTCTCAGCTGGTTGCCTTTGGCAGCAACGTGGATCCACGTCAATATGTGGGGCCCTTGGAGGAAATTCACCAAAATGTCCAAGATATCTGGCCTGGTGCTGACCGAACCTTGGATAAGGTGGTGGGACCAAGAGCTCGTGGCATATTCAAGGAGAGCCTGAGGCCGACGCCGGTTGATTTGACTCCTCAGTGTTGGATCAGTCAGCCGTGCTACGCACCGCTTGAACAACATGTCGTTGGTAGACTTGCTGTCGACGACTAGAGGTCGATCCTTTCCGGTTCCGCGCGTCAAGTACTCTCGGGCAGTTTCGTGGATCATAGCCACCTTGCCTTCATGGTCCACCGTAACAAAGCCACCGCACAGGTCAGCAATCGTTCTATGCATCTCAAGGACACCGTCATTTTCAAGAGCATCACCAAGCTCCTCGACTCTCAACAACCGCCGAGCACAGGTTGCCCAGCCTAGGATGTTTTGGCCAAGTATCCGATCGCTGGCGCTTGGTTGAGACTGAACAGACAGGGCCATCCGGTGGTATAGAGCCTCCATCCCCGATGGAAGTATTTTCAAAGCCTCCTCAACGGCTGGCTTAGTGTGGCAAGTGTTAATCTTCTGTATGGCCAGATGGATCCAAAGAAAGTTGCCCTTTGCCCGGTCTAGAAGCTGCGCAGTGATTGCTTCCCGGTAAGAGGCATCGCCAGCGAGATCCATCTCATGATCAATGTAGGATTGGAAGTCGAGGAGATTCCCTTCCACAAAAACCGTCTCCATATGCACAGATTTGGCCAACTTCTGGAAGGCCGAGGATATTTCGTGGGTTTTCCGACTCACGACCATGATTCGGAGAGGAATGGCCGTTTGATTCAACTCCGACAGAAGTTTTATTACGGACCCTGGCCGCTCTGCTTCGTCGACACCGTCAATAACCCAATAGATCGGATAGTCAAGGTCGTCAAGCTGAAAGAGAGTCTGCTTGAATAGCCACTCCCAGATATTCCGGTAGTCTGCAGTCCTGAGATCCGTGGCAGCAATCTCGAGCTGACGAAGCCTCTCCGCGTAGGCAGGCGTCGAGTTTGCAAGCTGACACGCTAAGGATCGTAGCATCATACCCAACCCTCGCTTCTCCTGGGACGTGAATCGTATGAAAAAGTAGTGGCAAGGCAAGCCTAGCTGCACTAGGTGATTGATGACGAAAGAGGAGAGGATCGATTTGCCGCTGGCTGCATTGCCGCTGACCCATAAAACTCGAGGGTTGGGACATGTATCGCCAAGCCATGCCGTAAAGGCTTCGTGGTTAGTGATCCAGCCGCAGGTGCCGGGAGTCCAGCGATCCCTGAAGAAAGTGTAGTCTCCACTAGGGGGCTCGGAGACTGAAAGGTACCCCTGAAAATCCGTGATTGGGGGTTTTGATTGCACCTGGTCTGTCCACGATTTTAAGCTTGTCAGGCTCTGGGCTCTGTCAAATAGTTAATCTAGATAAGAAAATTGTCTTACCTTTAGAGACTGTTTTCCCAATAAGAGTCTTGAGAACATTCCTCACAGTGATATACCGTGGATCATCCCGACTTGGATACTTGCAGATGGTGTGATGGTCTGCATCAAGAGCCTTGGATACCTCTCCAGGATACCCCAAGACTGACGAGTCCTTTTCCAAGACCATCTAAAGCATTCTTGATTAGATACAACTGTCTTATTTTAACGTTGCTATGGAGGGTATCACATACTATTTGAGACTTTTTGAACATTGGTGTTGGCCTGGTCTCATAGAAAGAGACAATCTGCAGTTTTGGAGCCACATGCCTGAACTGCTCATTGAGCTTTTGCAGTGTCTGTGAACCGGCTGCTAGCTCAGCAACGAACTGCATCGAACTTGTGATGAATGAAACTTGCAGGATGCGATTTAGTGTTTCGGCCAGGTTGGTTCCGCGATGGGGGGTTGAGAGGAAGATAATAGACGAGACTGCTTGTATAACATGCTGGTAGGTCGGGTCGTATCGTCCTTGCATGTAGGCCTAGTTATTGCAAGTTGCGAATATTAGCAAATGTCATCCTCTTGTGGGTAGGTCCTGGTCTAGCGGGAAGAGCGCCTCGGGCCGGCACGTACCTCTTTTACGATAAGCCCACCCATGGAATGAACTACGAATATGATTGGTCGCTGCTCGCGAGATTAGCTCCCCTGGGGTCAACGGGAAGCCACGGTGTTGGGGTATCCTTGCCTCTCCCATTCCAAGGTCTTCCAGTTCCGCTGCAGACTCATCTTGGGCATACTTCAGGTCATATAGGAGATCTTTGGCGAAGTCCAAGACCGACATCTTACTCTTGCCCCTCGCACTTCCGGGCCGGAAATTGGCATTGTAACCGAATGTCAAGATGCGGGCCTCGTTGATTTCTGGTTCGAGAGGGAGGAATTTCAGCGGCCAGAAGAATTCCGGATCGCGGTTATGCGACCATGTCGACCGACTGCTGCCACCCAAGCCATGAACGAATATGACATCAACCCTGCGTTCGCCCGGTGGTCGGTGTACGACTTTGAGACCGAGAGGATCTTGCGTGGATGATTCGGCCCCGCGGACCGCCGGGGCTTCTGAGAGGCTCGTGGATTGGCGGTCGGCCGAGGTGATGCTGCTGAACCCTGAGGCAGAACCAGGCGATCGGTCGCGCAACGGGGTATTGTAGGCAGTACTCGATGTCGACAACGCTTCGTGTGCGAGCCGTTCGGCACCTTGGTCGGGGGGTACGAGAGCAACTTCGTGGTCGCCCCCTTTCTTCTTGCGAAAGGCAAACTGCTTCCTGAACTACAGGAGGATCGCGGAAAGTTAGCACGGACCTGCGGGGCTGCCGAACAACGCAGGAAGCCAATGGGAAACCGAAAACACTGGGAACAAACCATGATGTTTGAATACACACGGAGCACCTTGGTGTTAGAACGAACACGGAGTACCGCTGCGTGCTGAAGAAGGGACCCGCACGAGAATGACGGACGAAAATAGTTGTGCGACCATCGCGGGCCGGAGAGGGGAACTTCTTGACGAGTGGGGGAGGGAGGAGGATCGATGCTAAGCGCCCACGCAACCCATTTTCACAGCCACGTATGCGGGGATTTAGTGAGATTTGACGGCAGCCCGCCGTTCCAATTGGCCTGATAACGGAGTGCATATGAAGGAAGCGAAGACCCGTAGTCAAATTATTCGATCCCCGCATCAAATAAATACTCAAGTTGACCCTCCATTTCCCAAGAGCTTCCCGCGTTCACAGAACGGAGCCCTCAGCAATACATACTCTGAAAACTTCCAAAGCAATGTCGCTCACAACCACAGAGCTCACAACCACAGAGGTGTTGGAGGTGCCTCGGGTCCAAGCTCCAGACACAGGAACTTTGACCATCAAGCAGATTCTCGCCCAACTAGATGGCGTATTTCCGATGGACCAGGCTGTGATCGATGGTAAGGGGACCCCTTGGAGGCCTCAATATCAACCATCTAACATCTGTGTTTGCAGCTCTCCCAGAGGGAAGCACCTTCATCTCAGTCGAGCATTTCGGAACCAGTGCTTGGACTATCACGGGAAGAGTCATAGCACGCAGCCTGGATGGATCAGAGCAAAGATACTTTCTGAAGGCAATTACATCTCCACAAATCCTTGACAACGGGGTGGTTAAGTGCGACCTCGTCAGCTTACCGACTCCCCTTTCAACAGGTTGCTTATGGCGAGACGGGCCGTATCATGCTGGGAGGCGAGTTTGAATCGTCCAAAATAATCCACAACACCACACCGGACTTCATCCCAACGCCTTTTGGATTCGGGAAGTATAAGGTGCAGAGCCCGGCGACCTACTTCTATCTCTCCGAGTTCGTCGACATGGACGTGACCAGTCCCCCGGATCCCGCCGAATTCACCCGTCGGCTTGCCAATCTGCACAGGACAAGTCAGTCGCCTACTGGCAAGTTCGGGTTTCACGTCCGTACGTGCGACGGGGATAGACCCCACTCGGTTGAATGGCAAGAGAGCTGGGCTACCTTTTACCGAAACCTATTCCTTGGTGTCTGCCATCTCGACACCAAGAGAAACGGGGTGTGGCCTGAGTATGAGCGAGCCGTCCATCAGGTGGCGTGGAAGGTCATCCCGCGTCTCCTCGAACCCCTCCAAGCTGAAGGGAGGGAGCTCAAGCCATGCATCATCCACGGGGACCTCTGGGAGGGGAATATGGGAATCAATCTGGAGACGGGAGAGTCCCTTCTCTTCGACGCCGGGTCTTACTTTGCTCACAACGAAATGGAACTGGGCCACTGGAGATGCGAGTTTAGCTCTGTCTTCCGATCGGAGCTGTATACGAGGCACTACCTACTCAACTATCCTGCCGCCGAGCCAACCAACGAGTTTGACGACCGGACTCGGTTGTATAGCCTTAAAGGGGCTATCAACTACTCGGCCGGCCACCCGGGGAGTCCCCTAAGGAAGACGTGAGTATCCCATATCCATTCTCCTGTTTTCCAGACCATCTCTGAGTTTCGCAATAAATCGTTAACTTTCAATCTGTATCAAAGTGCGTACAACAACATGTGCTATCTGTGCGAGAAATACGCCCCCATTGACGGGATCGATAAATACGATCCTCGGATCGACCCTTCCATCACGGGAGCTCGCATCGTCCCTCACGTCGCCGACGGCCTCATTTAGTATATGAGGTTGCTGAGCGAAGTGCAAGTGGAGCGGGGAGGGGTCACGTAAATAGAAGGATAGGGTCATATTACAATAGTATGTCAACTTCACTCCTAACCAAAGCCGGAGTCCCAGAAGGCGCCTTGGCAATGTCGTACTCGTAATCACCAACTCAATACCCTTCCCTGTCCTCACTGAAGAGAGCTGTTGTCTGTTTCACCGTTCAGAAGTATAACCGCCCCCTTCGAACTTTTCCAGGCCATCCGACAGTGGTCTTCCTCCCCTTCGCCCTTCCACATCATGCTCGGCAGCTTTTCTGATTTTGTTTTTGGGATGAATGGTCTGCCTGCAATCACCAAAGGCTCGTTTCGATGCTTAATCTAGCTTCCTATCCTACACATAACGTATCTTTGTCTTCTGCCCTTGGTGCAAGGTGTGGCGGCCTCAAGCAGATCTCGAAGTTCTGTCATCTTCACCTACGACCAAAAAGGTGGACGTCTCGATCGGGTCGTGCGAGTACCGCAGAGTATCACGGGGCAAGGCGGACCAACGGGCGCGATGGTGGGTGTCGCCATGCGTCAGAGTCGAGGAGCATTGGAAGAGAGTTCGAGACGCCTCTGCTTCATGGAAGGGTTCTAGATACGGTGCGTTCTGGTCCTAGGAACCAAGATTCGGGACTTGTGTCTTAGGGGTCAACATTCGGGACCCACGTCAAAGGGGCCAAGACTTTGGATCCCGATCCAGGAGAGGTCCAAGACAACCTCCTGTCAAAGTTTTCATATCTTGTGGAGGGTATAAGCAGGAATCAACAAGGGGTGGTTCCAAGGCCATGCATGTAAATAGAAGCTAGAAATTGTCACCTTTTGCCCTGCGAAAAGAAATACAAAAAAAAGAAGGTTCCTAGAAAACCATTCAACCCTGCGACTCTGTCTGTCTGTAGAATCCAAGCAAAAAACAGTGCGACCATCGGGAATTGAACCCAAATCTGCTGCGTGGAAAGCAGCAATGCTAACCATTACACCATAGTCGCTTGTCATTTGCTTACAAATGAATTTGCCACTACTATCCATTAATTAATCCGGCTTCAGCCTAGCACCAACTGCCTCCCTCGGAATTGGCCTTTGCTTTTGCTTCCTTTCTTACCCTTTAATCCGTACCAGATTCCAACGGTACGAGACTTCAGCGTATGAAACTGTGGAATGCGGCATCCATCTTGGAAGTGGGGGGATAGTCAAAGGTCTGACGTTCAAGTGGGCGAGAGATTTGAACAGTCAGAAGGGAACTCGACGATGGCAAGTTCGACTTGGAGTATTTGCAGGAACATCACAAGCCGCCGATGTTATAATTCACGCCACACTAATAGTCCCGGGGGACGGTCATTGTCTGTGCATCTAGTTGCGCGGGCCAAGGCTGGAAGGGCAAGCCGTTCCAAGAGAAAGCTCTCCATCACTTTCTGCCCATACTGAGATAAGATACCGGGACATTGTTTAATACTTTGCGAATCCATAGCTGTGTTACAGACTGGACATTTGGTCCTGTAAGTACCGTCTATCAAGATCTAGCTTGGCACATCTCAGGTCATACGGACGTAGGTACCTACAAGTATCACATCGTGGTCGACACCAAAAGTGCTTGGGAGCATTCCCAGATGGCAAAAGGGGCAAATTATTATCTATGAATCTTTGGATGGTAGACGTTGCGAACCCACAGATGTCCGAGTGTCTGGACCATCTTTCTTGGAGGGGTTCACTTTTTGGGTTCCTCGGTTATAGTTGTCGACTTCTGTCGAGGCCATGAGCCGAAACTGAGCCAGGCCTGAGCTGGCCTCGTGAGCCTGTGTGGAGGGAGGTGACCATATTAGGGCCATATTACAGTTCGAAAGCCATACCATATATTAATATTTTCTCAAATCCTTCACATTCGTTAATTAATACCTCGTCAAACAACTGCTAGAATTCTTCACTAATATCAAACATCCCTCCCGAACCAGATTTCTCAACTGAGCGAACCTACTTGGCCACCAGTTGCTTGAACGCGTCAACCAGCTCAATCTTGCCCTTCTTAATGACTCCAGTCGGGTTAGGGTCCCTGTCAATAATCCCACCAGGCAAGAAACTGCGGTTCATCTCCGCAAACTCCTTCGCCGTTGCCGGGGGAAACACATGCCCGAAAAATCCGTCAAGATCAGCCTTCTCGACTGCCTTGACCGTGAGCTTCTTGCCGAGGACCTCCTCAAACGCCTTCTGCACGTCGAGGGTGGAGTACAGGCCCGGACCATGCAACTCGAACACGTACGGGCTAGCCGGAAGTTCCTGGCCCGTCGAGAGGAGCTCTCCGGCGAGGGTGCAGCCGATGTCTTCTACCGAAACCTGTAATTGGGACGTTAGCAAATAGCGTTTTCAGTGATTAAAGGGGCTTTGCTTACCATTGGCATCTGGAAGTCAAGCGGCGTGACGGTCGAGAAGAAGAAGGCTGCCTCGCTCGACGCAGTCCCCACGACCGAAGCCCAGTTCTCCATAAAGTAGCACGGCCGGACAAAGACCACCTCCCGAGCTGCGCCCCTGAAGACTTGCTCGGCTTGGTGGTTTGTCTTGATCTCGCCCTGTGGTAATTTATCGTCAGTTCTGTCAAAAGGGGAGAGAAAACCAGATTCGAATATCAAAGTAAAGAGGAGGGGAAGACACTTACTACATCCTCAGCATACTGCGCCCCCATACTCGACAGCAAGACAACCCTCTTCACCGACCCGGCCCTCTCGACGGCCCGCCTCGTGTTCTCCGACACCTCGCGGGCGTGCGCGCCGACGTCGTAGCCGTCGAAGCGCGGCGGCGTGATGACGAGCACGGCGTCGGAGCTGGAGAAGTCGAGCGATTCGGACGAGGCGACGTCGCCCTTGGAGGCGGAGAAGCGGGGGTGGGCCAGGAACGAGGCCGGCGCCTTGGATGGGTCCCGGTATACGGCTCGCACGGTTGGGCCCGACGGGTCGTCTAGGAGGTTTTGGATCGTGGCGCGGGCGGTCTTGGGACCGGCGGGGACGATGGTGATATGCATGGTGGGTGGCTTTTTTAGTGGTCTTTAGGGGGGGGTTGATGAGACGAGTGGGGTGAGTGAGATGGGATGAGATGGGATGAGTGAGATGAGATGAGATGAGAGAAGGTGAGATGAGTGGGATAATGCTGGAACTGAAGAGGTTGTTGATTGTAAACTCAGGCTGTGCTGGTCTGGATCAGTTTGGAATTGGGGGAGGTGATACTCATCTTTATACCAGTCAGTCCACGCAGTCTGACTTGAACGTGTAATGCGCAAAGTCTCGGTGTCTCACGGATCATCCCGGATTTGTTCGGATTTGCCACTATATCCGTAGCACCGACGCTTCAAGCTTCAAAACATACGCTAGACCATCATTAATAAGCCGCACCCAACCCAAACCCCCATTTACACGAGCCAGATGGTCAGATCGGATGAAATTTGGCCCCTGGCTGCCTGATGTGGCCTTGCATAGCTGACGAAGACGTACGACCCTTTCTATGTTCTAATCTTCCCTTGGCGTGTGGGTGTCCGTCTAGTTGAGACCCTTGCCCATGATTATGTCCGAGTCTGAAATCAGAGCCGTTCTCCCATGTGCATCCGTAACAGTGTCTGTATGGGCGATTCCCTCGCATGATGTTGTCTATGCCATATCGCAAAGCGATGCGTGTCTCTTCGAGGCGGCCTACGTCATCCAACTAAATAATACGGACAGCTGCCAAGCATTGGCGCAGCAACGGAGACTATTGTTCTTGAATATCGTACACCAAACGCCCAGGCGCCCATGGGTTGGACGCGCGTGTGTGTTACGCAGCGTGCTTGAGGCCAGTTGTTCTTCTGAGTCTTGGAATCTGGAAGCAAGCGCCAGTAGGTTGAAAGGATCACACGCTTCACGCCTGTTAGAAGTGGGCTTGATGGTCTACCGAGAGGTTAGTCAGAGTTAGTCGACAGCCTCTTGACCCCGTGCTATGATATCCTGATTGCCATGGACAACCGGGCTGAGATGGGTTTCTGGATGAACTACTGTTCCCTTATCAGTTCACGCCCTGCTAGGATCCTACCGTGCGGCTGGACCACTTGCCAACATTTTCTTGAGTATACATGATGTAAGACATTGGAGATAAGGTAGTCAGCTTCTCTGGCAGAACTCATGCATCATGTTCACCACCGACCCCACGGAAAACGTTGGGTAACTGGCTGTCCTTCTCCTCCTCACCCTCTTCCCGAGGCCGTAGAGGCCACCCTAACGTGATCCTAAGGGCAGGAAGGGACTCGGGCCCCAGGGTCCTCCTGCCCGCCTCTTTGGGACTTGTGCTCGGATTCAGGCCGAGGGCCAGTTTGAGGCACGCCTTCTGAAGACCGGGCTCGATAACCTCGGATCAACAGTGTAATTTAGTTCCTCCAGCGACGCGGGCTCAGGCCTCGCCCACGCTTTTTAATAAAGTCGCTTGAACTGGGGGCCAGCTCACAAGAAGGATCGACCCAAACAACCCTCCCCCGGTTATTTCTTTCTTAGCTACCTCTCTTTTTTTGACGGAATATAGGTGGAATGAGGAGTGCAGGCAGCGGTACAGATTTCTCCACGCTGGAAGCCATACATAATGCAGCCCCACTTTCAGCATCTCTGAAAATGAGGCGTGCACGGACCCATCACTCTCAGTGCCCCACTTTCCTCCAAGCCCTACATTGAAATCTCCCCACCGCGACCAAAATTCAAAATTCTGCGATTTCCTCAAGAACGAACAAAGCTTCAACCATCCACCTACCCACCCCGATCGTCATCACTTTGCTGAAGCGCATAACGCTCGAGTCTTGACGATTAACAAGATGTCTTACCAGAAGGGCGACAAGGATTTCGGCGAGCAGCCCGTACGTTTCACCCGAGAATCCCAAGCTGCGACTGCCCCTCCACAGACAAGATTGCTGACTTGCCGCCCCTGCTCTTTAGAAGGCTCACCGCATCCGCATCACCCTCACGAGCCGCAAGGTCCAGTCCCTCGAGCGCGTCTGCACCGAGCTGATTGACCGTGCCCGGTCCAAGGATCTCTCGGTCAAGGGGCCCGTCCGCCTTCCGGTAAAGTCGCCCGTCCACCAACCAACTTCTCGAGGCAGCCTCTAACACCCCAACAGACCAAGAACCTCAAGATCACCACCCGTAAGACTCCCAACGGTGAGGGTAGCAAGACCTGGGACACCTTCGAGCTCCGCATCCACAAGCGTTTGATTGAGTACGTTCCTCCCCTGAAAGTTCCTCTCCCGAGCAGGCGCTAACTCAAGTTTGCAGTCTTCACGCCCCTACTGAGGTCGTCAAGTCGGTCATCGTCAACAGTAAGGACCCGCGCAACCCCCCGCCTTTATATCTGCATAATTCTAACAGCGCGCAGTCGAGGCTGGTGTCGAGGTTGAGGTCACCATTGCGGCCTAAGTACTTCCTTCCGCGGAAGACACTGGGGGGGAAACTTGGTGCAGTGGGAAGGACCGGGATATCCCGGGGCTTGGAGGCTCCTGACGCTTCCCTGAGGTGGGCAGCCGGTATTTTAGGCGTGCGGCAACCTTCAGTCCATACTGCAATCAAATATTTTCCCCGAATACGTGCCTCCACCATGCCCCTTTTGTGTCTATCATGGCTGGTAGCCTTGGGGAAACAAACTCCATTATCGGAGGGTCTGGCCAACACAGGTGATTTGGGATGTAGTGATATGTGAAACACCCCGTCCAGCAGTTGCGCCTCGAAACCCATGGGATTCACTTTTGCCATCCCCGTTCTCTCCTTCCTGGCTTCTTAGGCGCTCTTCTCCATTGCCTGCTCTGTTCGTCGCAGCTGTACATGCAAGGCAAGGGACAACCTGTAATTGATGCTTTACTTATTTGTATCACGCTACTAACTCGAGGTACCGAACAAAACCAAGCCCACGCGGAGCTGCCATCCCACACGAACCGCCAGCCCCCGCGCCTCAAGCCGCAGCACCGGCACCAGCGGCGGCCTCCTCCCTCTCCCTCCTCAGCGCCTCCCGCCTGCCCGTGCTCTGCGGGTCAAAATACGGCCTCTCTCCCAGGCTGACGGCGCGGCTACCCGACCTCTCGCCGAGCCCCTCCTCGTAGACGTAGTCGGGCGTGGCGGCGTGGTAGACGCTGCGGTTGTCCCAGATGGCCACGTCGTTCTCGGCCTGCCAGCGGAGGCGCACCTGCAGGTCGTGGTTCTCGACGACCAGGCTCACGAACCAGTCCAGCAGCTTGCGGCTCTCGGTCTCGGACAGGCCGTGCACGCGCTGCACGTGGTGGCCCACGGCGAACACGCTGCGCCACCCCGTCACCGGGTTGGTGCGCACCACCGGGTGAACGGCCTCGAGCGCCTCGCCGGCGTTCTCGGGGGCGCCGCGCGGGGCGCTGTAGATGGGGAAGTTGTTGCGCGCGGCGGCCTCGTTGAAGAGGGGCTGCGCGTAGTAGGCTGTTAGGGTGTCGAGGAAGCGTTGGAGCGTTGGGGAGATGCGGTCGTAGAGTTCGTAGCCTGAGGCCCAGAGCGTGTCTGGAAGGGGGCGTTTTAGTATCTTGGGGGGGCTTTTTTCTTCTTGTTGTCTTTCTGGGCCGACGGAGGGTTGGAGGGAGGTTTGATTTTACTCACCACCACCGGTCTTGGGCAGCTGGGTCAGCCGCAGAAGTGCGTAGTCACTCGGCACGGGCTCGAAGGTGATGTCCGAGTGCCACTGATTCTTGCCGCTCTGGCGCTTGCTACCGTAGCCGAAGGCGGCGAAGCGGTCTGAGTACAGCTTCTTGGCCTGCTGGGACGAGATGACGCTGATCTCGTCGTCCCCGCCGCCGCCCTCGCGGCCCGCGTTGTTGACCGGGTGGATGTGCAACTTCGAGGTCGCGGGCTTGCCGCTCAGCTCGCCGAGCCTCTGCACGAGCTCCTTCTGCAGCTCGTCGGTGAGCTTGTCCTGGGAGCGGAAGAAGACGACGCCGCGACGAGAGACTATTTCGTTTGTTCAGCACGGGATGGGTTGGGAGTATTGCAACTCAGGGGTAGATCGCACAACTTACTCGTGATGGCAAGGTCTCGGATGAGCTCGTCCGAGTTGGGAGCTCGAAGCCACTCCACAAGGTCGACGTTGGCGTACTCACGACCGATGACAGGCGTCACGTCGAAGGATTCAAACTTGTCCAGCGCACCGCTGAGCTTGAGGGGCTCCTTATGGTTGGTCTCGAGCTTGGGAAGCTCCTCGCCTTCTGGTTGGGCTGCCTTCACAGAGCCATTGGTGTTCTGAGGTTGCTCCACCTTCGTACCAATGGTCTTCTCGACGATTGGGACTACAACCTGCTGCACGGTCTCTGTAGCTGAGGGCGGCATCTCGACTGTTGGTTAGGGTGTGCTAGGGTATCTGGGTGGTTTATCTTTGCGCGAGTTTCAGTTATCACAAACTGCTGCTTCTTGCGACGGAACGACTTGTAGGAATGCAGAACTTGTATTTATAGACAGCGGGAACTTGTTCAATGCAAACCCAAATCTAGAAAGAGCTGCCGAGATCCCCGAGAAACGATGTCGGTTCATGGCGCGAGAACCTCGATAGTAAGCATCATTCTCCCAACATATTGAGCTCCGCCGTCATTGGCGAGCCTGGATGACTCCTTGGGCAAGACGGTGGGGTCCTGAGGGACGTTGGACAATATATCGCTGTGCTTACAACCACGAGGAGGCCTAGATGAAAGGTGGGATATGCACAATGGATGGTGAAAGCCGATTCAAGGCTGACGTGCGAGTGGGAACTGGGATAACGTCTAGCAAAGACGAGATAACGATCGATGATCAGATACGGAAACCGCAGCGAGAGGCGGACTCCGATATCCAGACCTATCAGAGTTGGCCTATTGTGGGAGACCAATTGACGATACACCATGAACAGCCTTAGGCTGGTTTCGAGCGGGATGGTGGTGAACTGGTGATGCCATAATGGCGGCTATCACGAAAAGCCCAATCCCCTAACCCCGAGTAGTTGCCGACAGGCGAGGGACGCATTTGATCTCCAGCCTCGAAGACAAAGGAGACGAGATGAATGTAATATCTGACCCCCTTTGGCTGGATCAACCAAAACGGCACAGTTGGCCCTTGGCCACCGCCAACTTCGTCAACTCTCTGGGCCGGCGAGCCGGCACCGGCAAGCCCCGCCAGAGAACTCTCCAATTGGAAGCGCCATTGGCTGTTTCTCAGTACAAGGCGGAGTGGCAGAAACAAGAAAAGGTGAGAGACCCTGCGACCATAAGACCAAATCAACCTCCATATTCTCGGCCATCAAACAGTCCGCGACGTCTGTGGAGTGGGGTGTTGTAGGTTATTTGAAAATAGCAGCGGATTCAGGCCGCTTTTCAAGTCGCCCGCTCCGGATGCAATCCGAAATGGCCATCGATGAAGCTAAACACGCAAGCTGGTCACATCAGCGGACGCGGACGCAGGAGACACCATCCTGAACTTGAAGGAAGAAAATGATGACAGCGGACTGGCCATGTTTTGTCCCTTCAATTGTTATCGAGATGTTGAAGATATTCGGGTTGACAGGCCTAGGCTTGTGAAACCAGCCAACTGCCCCTCCACAACTGCCGAAGGTGGGGCAGCCCAGGTGAGAGAGTTTCTAGTGTTAGGGTTGGCAGCAATCAGCGGTCAATCTGATACCATTTTCGCCTGCCGAGCTACTTACCCCGGACTCTGTGGCTAACAGCCACTAACAGCAGCAACACGGCAAGTTGCGAGGGCCGAAATGCCTCGGCAAGACATGGACCGGGGACCGTCAAGTTGCCGCAATATCAACTTCCAACGTCTGCCTCTTAAGCCGCAGCTCCGCCCAAAGTTACCTTCTCGCTCGTTTCCCAAGTTACTGTAATCCTATTCAATACCCCAGGCGCATAGATTATCGACACAATGGCGGCAGAAAGACTCGGTTCGATCCTCAAACACCTCACGCCGGGCAATGCCCTCTCTTCCATGTGAGCCATACTCGCCCCTGCCATTGCTACCAAGAACGCCCCCGTTGAAGAGACAGTGACGCTGACATTTCTCGTGTGCCAGCACCTCCAAGAACCCCGACGACATCGTCATCACCCTCGCCATCCGGACGCCGCTTGTCAAAGCAAGGAAGGGCGGCTTTAAGGACACGAGCTTAGAATACATGGTTTATGCCCTGTTGAAGGAGGTCAAGGAGCGATGCAACCTGGATCCAGCCCTGGTTGAAGACATCTGCCTCGGCAACGTACGTCTTCCCTTCCCTTCTCCCGCCATTCCCACATCCGAATCCTCTCACTGACCGTCCTCCTCCTACAGGTCTCCGACGGCAAGGCGGCCTACAAGCTCCGCGCGGCGGCGCTAGCGGCCGGCTTCCCCGACACGGCGGGGGCGTCGAGCGTGAACCGGTTCTGCTCTTCCGGGCTGAAGGCGACGGCGGACATCGCGCACGCCATCAGCAGCGGCTCGATCGAGGTCGGGGTTGCGATCGGGGCGGAGCAGATGACGGTGGGCGGCGACGCGCTGGAGAAGCCGTTCGACGAGGCCGTGACGAGCCAGTCGCAGCAGTCGGCCGACTGCATGCAGCCCATGGGCTGGACGAGCGAGAACGTCAGCGCCGACTTTGGCATCTCGCGCGAGGAGATGGACCGCTTCGCCGCCGAGAGCTTCCAGCGCGCCGAGCGCGCCCAGAACGCCGGCTGGTTCGACGACGAGATCGTCCCCATCCGCACGAGGGTCAAGGGCCCCGACGGCCAGTGGAAAGAGGTCGTCCTCGACAGGGACGACGGCATCCGGCCCGGAACGACCCCTGAGTCGTTGGCTAAGATCAGGGCCGCTTTCCCGCAGTGGGGTGGCAAGACCACGGGAGGCAATGCTAGCCAGCTCACAGACGGAGGTGAGCTTTTTTACCCCTTTGGGGGGGGGGGGGGGGGGGGGGGGGGGGGGGGGGGGGGGGGGGC